GATTGGAGCAATGAGGCAGGATTCCTTAGTCATCGCCGCCACTCTCCAACTTGCACTACGCGAGTAATCATTCTTTACCTACATTTATTTCCCTGTCCCTGTCGCTGTTGCTGTCGCTGTCATGATCATTGTCACTGTCACTGTCACTGCCACTGCCACTGTACTCGAGGGATGATTACTTGAATCGCTTTTTCCTGGAAAATTTGCGGACGAACCAGTGGTCTTGCCCGTTGATCTGTATCTGGAAGTGGCTAACTTTGCTGCCTTTCCTACTCTTTCTGCCCCCCGCTAATTGCGCCAATGCATATCCACATCTCTCCACGTCCACGGTGCGGCAGTCAGCTTGGAATGGAATGCTGCCCCCCCCCCCTCCCCGCCCCTCTCTGGTGCCCACGCCGGGATCTCTTCTGATTTGACAAACCAGAGATAGCGATAATGGGGCCGAGTCCCACGCACTCACTGCCCCGGTTTGACATCTCAAGATCCCACGAACCTCCATGCTTTGTGAAATTAGGATGGACTTCCCAGGACGATGGACCGCTTGCGTGCTCTTGAGCGTGAGTCTATTTTTAGAAGACCCTTGAAATCAGGTCCAGTACGCACCCCGTCCACATAAGTTACCACTCATCTCCTAGGAACCACAAGAGGATATGCCATCTCAAGGCAATGTACCCGAGCCGCAAAACAGATCTGAACAGGGACTTGAATGGAGACCAGCAGTGGTCGAAAAGAGGAGGGCATTAATGGTGACGACTTATCTGCAGACCCCATCTTTATCGTGACCGTACAGTACATTGATGACGCGGAAGTGGGATCGATGACGATAGCCCACCCATTTTGCGACAGGCAGTTTCTCCACGAGAAGCCGAAGTTGTGCTATACGCCGTGCCATACCGAGCTTGAATGTTGTTGAACAATTGCAAAACCATAGCCTGCTTGTTGAGATTGGCGTGACAAACAAGCTTGGTGTAGTGTGCAACTCGTCTGCATGGAACTAGTCGTTCGACCAAGATACGATTCAGATGAAACAAGATGCGAATAGAACACAATTGTTCAACTTAGACTCTTGTAGTGAGATCCTCCACCCACCAACAATTTCACTGTAGACTTGACAGTACGGAGTGTCGAAATTGAATCGATCTTTAAAGGAGTGGGTAGGTGGCATTAGATGGTTCGGGCCGTAATCTTGGCACTGTTTGGAGGTTGCGCTCTCCATCGACTCATCGAGAGAGTCCATTGAGATTCATCTCTCTCTGTGCCACCGCAATCACCAAACACCAAACAGACAGACACACCACGGCATTCATCCGATTAAGGCTTTCCCGTCCAGACGAAGTACGTTTCTCCAATGGCTGGCGGCCATGTCGACCCTAGATATAGCAGCACTACTGCCATGTCGGCGGCCTCTATTGGTCCTCTCTTCGTTGGACCTGCGGTGGCTGGGCTGCGGAGGCTGGGAAAGACAGGCGCCCGCATCGCCAACCACCTCGGACGGTCAATAGCAGCCCAATTCAAAGCTCTTTTCTCCCTTGCTTCCTGCCCCGACCATCTTGTCTCTCTTATCTCTCCCTCGACCGGCTCGGGTCCTACGCGCTGGGAATGTCCATGAGATATCTCATACCGCGTTGCAAGTGAGCGATTGAAACACATACATTCCTCGGCTGATCCCGACCGTCATGTTAGCTCCGGGATCGGGCAATGTGAGTCTGCGGACTGTCAGTTGTAAGTGGAATGTCGGATTTGTTCGACAGCCAGCTCGAGATCCCAACCAACCTTGGTCGATTGTGGTTTGAACCGATGGCCTGACTCCATGCAGCAAGTAGACCGCAGATGATACACACCGAGGATCAACAATCCGTTGCCGCTTCAGATGACTACTACTCTTTCTCGAGCCAGAGCTCCAGCGCAAGGTCTCGGACGAGTGGCAGTCGAGTCAATGTCGTGCGCTATGCCACCCCCAACTCTCGACCTGCATCCCATCCTCCTTCCCCTAGCATATCAAGAACGCATCTCGCCCCGCCGGTGGCTGGTGCGCGATCGCAACCCTCTATAGACTCCTCGAGCGACAACAGAATCTTCCTGACACCCGCGTCCCAAACAATACGCTCCGTCGAGGATAGAGAAGTTCACCTGAACCCCATGTCCCATACCACATCCAGTCGGGCTCCCGCCGACAGCTACGCGGGACGCCCACCAACTCCTGGGATGGACGACTCGCCTTATATTCATTTCGCCATTAGCCAGCTGACGCGTGATGAGGAAGTGGCGGGCCCTAGGAGGAGAAGTTCGATCGTGAGCCGTGACTCTCCCGCTGAGCCGCTGCTCTGGGATGATGGCTTAGGTTGCTTCATCCGCTCACATGGACCTTCCTCACCTCCGGACATCAGACACCAGCAAAACTCTCCTATCTCCGCAAGAAGGTCGCCCCAGAAGTCGGTTGACCCAGAATCTTTCATTCCAGTGGATCCCCCAGAGGAAAGCCTACTCTACCCTGCACTGGACTATGTGCCTCCTGTATTGCGCACATGGGCACTGGCCGCCCTCACAATCTGCTGCTTGCTCATGATCGCCGGAATCATTTTCTGCAATGTCTGGTCCCCAAGGCATCAAGGACTTTGGGACTATGAGAGACAGGGTGGTGCCCATTACTTCGTGATGCAATTTCTACCGCAGATTCTAGGCATGGTTATCACCATCTGGACGTTCGTGGTTCAAGCTGCCGTTTACCGCATCATGCCTTTTGCTATCATGGCATCGGAGCGGCCGTACGACCGCATTCTGCAGAGGCTGCCAGTCACGTCACGCAACTTCATTCTACCTGATTTCTCACATTTTCGGCATGGAGAGCCGCTAGTTGGATTCTCTTTGCTCTCAATGTGGCTCTCAAATTTCATCTCATTGCCGCTCCTGAGTTGTTTGTTCCAGGCCAAGTGGTATGAAATTGACGGCCAAGGCACGTGGCGATGGGCCTCTGTTCTGGCTGTGGGCTGGACGCTGGTGGCGGTTTACGGACTGACGACTGTTGGGCTGATTTTGCTCATGCTTCGCTTTTTTCGTACATGGTCAGGCTTAATGTGGGATCCTGTCAGCCTGGCGGATCTCATTTCGGTGATTCAACGGTCAAACATTCTGCACGACTTCGAACAGTCCGAAACATTGCCACATGTTGAGGATTCACTCGAGCCCCGACTCCTTAGACTGGGTTATTGGCAACTATCAAACCGCGGCGAGTTCTTCTATGGTTTTGGCGAGGCTGATGCCCCGATCCGAACACCATCTCTGCACCACCTGGAAAAGAATCTTCAGATGCAGTCGCACGGCCTGTCCAAGGTCTCAGTCGATCTTGAGCGCCAGGGTATGGCCGAAAAGGGCGAATACCACGAGAATCTATACACTCCTTCTGTTCGCTACCGCTGGATTCCATGGTTTCTCAAGGATACATCTGTGATAGCTTGGACGGTAATCATATGTGCTTTGTTCGTCGCTTTTGTACTGGCTAGCTTCATCCATGACGCCATCCGAGGAGGCTTCCCCCCACGGTTGCCCACATTGCCTTCCACCGGCGGCTTTTCGTCTTCCAACTTCTGCTACAGCTTTGTGCCGGCTCTTATCGGAAACGTCTTTTTTCTCGCATGGCAGCCCATCGACGTCTTCTTTCGTGCGTCGCAACCCTTCGCTTCTTTGTCGTCACCCGACGGTGCACGTGCAGAGGAGAGCCTGTTACTGGCGTATCCATCGCATCTTCCGTTCCAGGTGACTATCCTGGCTGTCGCCAACAAGCACTACAAAGTGGCTTGGATCTCGTTCATGAGTACTGCGTCTGCCGCCATTCCCATTCTCGCCGGGGGCGTTTTCATTGCGTTGAATTACCCGTCCGAACACGCAATCAAGATTGCAGCATCAATGCCTGCTTTCTACGCGATGGTGGTATTCTGTGCTCTCTATACTGTGTCCTTCTTGTGTATCTGGCCTCGCCGTCAACGCTACCTCCCTCACGATATTAGCACGCTGGCCGATCTGATCAGCTTCCTCTACCAGAGCCCCCTCCTCGCCGACAAGATCTTGCGCGAGCCGAGGAGCAAAGCAGACCTGGTCACGCGACTGGTTGTCGCACCACCTGGGGACCGCGAGCATTCTGTGTATGGCTTCGGGATATATGTTGGCCGCGATGGCAAAGAGCATCTGGGAATCGATCGCCTTGACCGTCCCGGTCGGACCGATATGCTGATCAACACGGAATATACGAGATAGTCTGCGTACTCGCACGACGGTTGCGGAGTAGACGAAACCTGGTTGGACATGCGCTCGAACTCCTACGCTCAATCCCAGCCCTTCTTTTTATGCCAACGATTCATGTATTATGAACGATCGATGAAACTTACGGATATCCCCTATATGTGTTACGGTGTTACGAGCCCAAATTTCAGCCCGGTTTGATGGGCTACTAATGATAATGAGACATATTAATGTACTGATGTATCGATGAACTATGATATTGCTTTTTTTTGTGACTGAACTCCACTTGTTTGCTATGTTAGATCTTGTTGCATGCTCATTTTGAACTTCCTACGTTGGAAATCTTCAAGAGGCACATTCGGGGAGCATTGGCGTTTATCAATACCGCATAGTTCTGTGGATACATTGTCCTGTTGTGGATATTCTTAGTAAGGAGCGACAGCTCGGCTGGTGGACTTATCACGTGATCGGACAGGACTAACCGTGTCTGTTATAGTGCAGGCTTCCACTCATCTCGACCTTATGTACTGTACTGTACCTGATCTGACCATCCGAACCACCCGGATACATGCTGCACTTGAAAATGCTTGTGATGTCCAGATGAAATAGAGATTCGCGTGGCAGCAAATACATGTGTCTCGATCGCTTGGTATTGAACAATGCACTTGGAGTGTCGAGTGTTTGATATTGCCGCACGAGTGAAGTACACGGATATCTAGTCCGATCTCAAATTTGTGGGCTATCCAGACTCGGGGGCCTCAATCATGGTCTATCGTGGGAAGCCAAGCACCGGGTGTCAGAACTGCCGGACAAGGCGTATCAAGGTTAGTGTCTCGGATTCTGTAAACGACTACTGTTAATCGCCACTCAGTGCGATGAAACTCGCCCACACTGTAGAGCTTGTGTGCGGACGAATCGGTCATGTCCAGGGTATCTAGACCCTTTTGATGTTATGCTCCGGGATCAGGTCGCCTTCAAACGCAAGAAGCGAGACACTCATGTCTTGAATGCAGCCCCAGCGAGTCCGGCCAAACTGGCTTCTCTAACCACCTCAGTGATTGCGGCAGCGCCTGAAACCGCCGTGTCCACCAACGTGACAAGGGCCGATTGGATGGACATTGTATTCGACAAAACCTGCAATATCCCGAAAAGCGTAAACCTGCCTCTTGAAGACACGGTGGCATCGTTGTTCTTTAGCTCCTATCTCTATTCACCCAAAGATCCACTGATTCGGGAAGGGTTCATGGAAATGGTGCCCCATGCTTACGCAAACGCCCAGCCTGGGTCGCACTTGAAACTCATCACGTTGGCGGTGTCTTTCTTCTCGGTGTCTGCGTGGACGGGCAATCGGTCATATCTCCGAACCGCCGAACACCTGTGCGTGCAAGCGATATCTAAAACCAGAGAAGCGATTCAAGGCGGCATCGACCGGAATCAGGATGAGACTCTGATGACCGTGCTCTTGCTCTTGATTTATGAGGTGACTAGCCCAATTATTCATTGAATGCTCGGATCTAATGATATGACCAGGAACTCTCAGCTATGAAGGAGCGCAGGGCCCCAGGGAAGACACATTTACGTGGCGCAATTGCCTTGATAAATAGTCGGAGTCAAGACCAGCGGGAGACGGATCTCTCGATAACGTTGGAAAATGCAGTACATGCACAACTTGTAAGCTCGAGTGGCGTGCAAATCATCGGACTTGTTTGACTGATGATTCAGATCAAAACAACCAAAGGGCTCGCGTATCCTGTTATGCAGACCCCCAAGGTCTGGCCGCCCGCGCCAGTTGCGCCCGAGTCTGCCTCAACTCAACTGTTGATGGCCACATCTGACCTGGTCAGCCTGCGACAAGCATGGGACAAGCTTGTCTTGGACCAACCAGCCGCCAATGTCACCGAGCTCGAGGAGATCCTCGCTCGGGCGAGGCATCTGGACACCAAACTTGTAGCTTGGACACACGCCCTCCCCTCCCACTGGCACCCCGTCTCCGCCACCATGATATCGGATTCCATCCGCAAGGCAGGCATGTACAAGAACCGATGTGACTGCTACGCGGACATCTGGATCGCCAGCACCTGGAATTTCTACCGCGACTCGCGCATTGTCATCCAGAATATCATCCTCGACTGTCTGCGCCTCCTTCCGCCGCCCCTCCGCGCCGACGACATTCAGAGCGCCCTGGACATCATTCAAGACCTTGCTACCGGCATCTGCGCCACCATCCCATACTTCCTTGGAAGCCAGTCGAAGCCGGCCCAGATGGGCATGGAGAAGATCGACTATCCCGAGGCGGATGCACGCCGGGTCACCGCGGGCCACCGTCAGACATCGCCACTTTTGGGAGGATGGCTGGCGTCCACGAATCTGTTCAATATGACCATGCTACCTTTGACGGATGAGCTGCATGCTTGGATCTTGGAACAGAAGCACCGGGTGCTGCGGATTTATACATTTGGCTCCATGGAGGGCGTTCAATGATGGAGCTTGTACCGGGCTATGTTTTTGCCAGCTCAACAATTTGTCTAGGTCTCTCTGCCTTCCACTGGATCTCTTCCATTGGCAATTGGCCGGGCGAACGGTTTGAACGCCATAAGACGCCTTGCATCTCCCTCGATTTTTGGTGTACCCATAACTCTTATACACCTCTGATGAAGCGAGAGACCTCAGCTGAAAATGGAGGCATACTTCAAAAAACCACCTCGACACGGCAAAACCTGTGTCACGTTGCTGTGCGCATTACTGGCGAAGTCGCAAGAGTCTTGACCTACAGGATACCCACCAGTTCTTATCCCCGGCTCTATCCATGTCAATGCGAAATCTCAAGACATGAATCACTCAACGATAGCGGCTCATTTCCTTCAAACTTGTGCAGCTACTGAACAGACGCTCCATCAGAAGCAGTCGCCCAGAGCAAATTAAAACATATGGCCGGCCTGCTGATTTTCCACGCGGCTCTAATAGAATAACCGCATCCGACTCGAAGCTCCTTACTATAAATTCTGCAGTAGAACAGACATGATCGCAGAACTCGAGTATATATTGTACAGATATGCACATAAAGGAGACATTAGAAGTCTGATACTTAGGCTCTTGGAGAAAGAAGAGCCACTTGGTCCAGCACAACGGAGCCACAAGTGAGATATCGTCGTAGAAAACAACGCCTGTACCGTACCTTGTTGTCGTGAGTTGAATTTAGTAGATCCGGACCCTTCCACCCAAAGTCACAGCCGTCTTCAGGACGCGTACTCGATAAAGGTCAGAGAGGTGGTCTACAATGGACAAGCTATCATGTTATCCACATGCCAACTTAGTGCTCCGATCTGGAAGCAGCGATAGCGGATGTTCATGAGACACGCAAACACTCTCATAAAACATAGAGAGCCATCATGAGTAAAAGATTAACCATGCACAAGCAGCACGAAGAAATCACGCAGAGGGAACAAGACCGAAGCGCAGAGAAGTGTGGACATGACACATAAACGGAGTTAGTGGAGATAAAACCCTCTGCTCTGACTAAGCCACCATCGCAACTCCTCTTTCTCCTCTTTCTCCTCAACCCTCGACAAAACAATCCCCTCACCCTCCTCAACAACACAATCACAAACAAACAACTCAATCCTCATGCGCGAACAATAAGCATCAAGTACTCCGCTCAATTGAACCCCCCTCACTCACCACAACCTCACCCACCACCACCACCACCACCAGTGCAACCCTCAAAAATGGGCCTCCTCCGCTACTTCATCCCCGAACAACAAAAACCTTCCACCGCGTCACCCTCCTCCGACACCCCCTCCGACCAAACACCCACAAACACAACCCTCTCCACCCCCTCATCATCGCGTTTAGATACGGATGAATTCGAACCCCCCCTCCCAAAACTCTGGACGCCTCAAACGAACCTCAAACTCCTCCTCGGCGGCACCGCCTTCCTCGCCCTCAGCCTGCTCACCACCCGCCGCGCAATCCACCGCCGCCGCCTCGCCGCCATCCCGCCCTTCTACACCAGCGCGCCCTACCACAAGCCCACGGTCAGCGGGGGCGTCGAGGCGTTCGAGGCGCTCAACCTGGCGACGCTGAATGTGCTGGCGTTCGCGATGATGAGTACGGGGGGCGTGCTGTACGCGATGGATATCAATAGTGTGGACGATATGCGGCGGTATGTGCGGCGGGTTTCGCTCTCCGAGGAGGAGATGGCCAAGGGGTTGGTGGAGGGGGATCAGGAGATGGAGAAGGAGGTGGAGGCTTGGGCGGCCAAGGTGCTGGGGGAGAAGTTTGGGCGGGAGTTGAGGGCGCAGCGCGAGAAGGAATCGGAGGATGCTAGGGGTTTAGTGGAGGGGGAGGGGAAGAAGGGGGAGTGAGGTTTTTCCATTCTGGGAGGATGGATATATAGGTGGGTTGATGAAGATGGGTTGGGATGGGCTGGGATGGGATGGAGTTTTTTTATGGTCACGGGTGCTTCGGGACAGGACAGGACATATCTCTACTACTTTTTCATGACAACATACACATACCCTACTCTTGTATTTACGCATTCTTACGGGCTTAAGCTCAAGCTCAAAGACACACAAAATGATATGATCATTTATGACAACCACCAACGTTCCTATGGCTTGGCTTCCAATCTACCCATCTACCTACCCACCTACTGCTCCATCTGTTCGTATCGCTCCCGCGCCGTCTGTCGCGTCTTCTCCAGAAACTCATCGTACCGACCCCGCGTGTTGCGCCCCGCCTCCTCCGTCGCATCTCCCAGCTTGCCGCCTTGCGCCCCCAAGCCCACCCCCTGCGCATACACCTCGGTCGCAATCGGCGCCGTCATCCCCGTGCCCTGCGCCCCCAGTCCAGACCCCGCGGACCAGCCCATCTTGCTGAGCAGCGAGGCACCCTTGGACGCTGCTGGCACTGCCGGCTCCTCTTCCTTGGCCGCAGGAGCCGCGGGCCGCGGCTTGGCTCCTCCACCAGCCTTGGACCGGCCGAAGGCCTGTCGCCGTTCGCGGGCGCGGTCGCGATACTCCGTCGGTTGCGGGATGATGCCGTGCTTGACGAGCTTGCGCGTGGCATGCGCGATGCGCTCCTCATCCAGCAGATTCTCGCGGTGCATCTGACTGAGGCGTTCGTGCAGGTTGACCTGGGCGGTGGACTTGAATTTCCGCATGCACAGGTAGCAGCAGTTCTGGGTGGGGTTGGCATAGGATTGACTCGGAGGCGCGGCGGGGTCCAGCGGGGATGCTGCAGTCTCCGAGGTCGGCTGCTGCTGCTGCTGCTCCCCACCGCCCGGTTTGTCCTCGCCATCCTTCTTCTGGATCCCGTGCAGCTCCGCGTGGCGGTTGCTCCAGAACTGCAGATGCGACGGTACCGCCATCTTCTTGGCCGCGGCACTCGCGGCTGCGTCGGCCTTTCGCTTCTTGGCCTTGTCGGCGTCCTTGCTGCCCTTTGTGGGTCCCTCCTGACCAGCCGCCCTGTCTCCCTTGCCGCTGTCAAGTTCCGCTGTGGACACCGTAAGCTCTTTCACATAGGCCTCTTCGTCCCAGTACATGAGTTTCAAGGCTGGGTTGTTCAGCGGACTGAACGTGAATCGTTCATTGCTGGGGGTGGGATTAAGGACCGGGACAAAAACACCAGCATGGATGTAGCTGACCAAAACCGGCCGCGAGGAGATGGTAAACTTGTCAAATGAATTGAGTCGGGTGACGGCAGCTTGTGCATCCTAGGACTATATTAGCTAGGCCTTGGAGCAACCAAGGGCGACATACCTGAATAGTCGCGAATTCCGCAAACCCGTAGCGCCAGCTCTCGTTAGTTTTGCGACCTCTCACAAGCAGAACACGGCGAATGGAGCCATCTCGAGCCCCGAGGTTCGAGTCTCCCGTGGTCGAAGCCACTTTAGCTCCCTTCTTCGCACCTCCTGTGGCATCATTGCTGGAAGACGAAGGACGGTACAACTTGGCCACACCCTTGGCCAGCAGTTCTTCGGTGACCGACGATTCCAGTCCGCGGAAAAGAAGGAACTGCGACGGTTGGTTCTCGGGCGCCGCATCATTATCGCCGTGGTTCTCGACTCTCGGGGCCGGCAGTCCAGGAGGACCGGCGGGGCCGCCATCTGGTCCGAATAAGCTTACTTCGTGTTGACGCTCCCATGGGCAACATACCAGGTCGAGGTGCTTGACAACGAAAGCACTTTTGACGGGTAGAATAATTGACGATAGCACACTAGACAAATTAACGCGTGAATCAGGCTCAGTGGCTCAGTTCCGGCCTTACCATCATGCAGGTCCAGTCAGCCTCCGCGCGGGCCCGAGCACGGTCCTCTCTCTCGCGACTGTAGGCGATGCGCACCTTCGTGCCGCGGTCGTTATGTGGATTGGGCCCATGGAGGTAGATGTTGGGGAAATTGCGTTCGACGAACGCCCGCGACTGGTTGAGATCTCGGAATCTCAAAAAGCCCAATTGACGTGAAACCTCTGAAGCCACGATTAGCTTGACGGGGGCGAAACAGACCAAGCATCACCTACTCGTCTGTCGATCACGAATGACACGGACGTCATCCAGACCATCCACATTGTAGAATTCTTTCAACTCATCCGTAATCTGTTCAACACCTCGACCAGACATCTCAGCATCTTGCCATCAAATAACGGTGGTGTTTCGGAGAGCGCCGTTTTGGGGCGCCGGACACAGAAACATGAAAAGGGGAAGGAGTTGTCGCACGTCTTCTTCCACCATATCCACCGGTAACCCATCCATCATCACCTCCCGACTCTCTTGCCCGTAATGCGAATGCCGGCCTCGGCGGGGGCTGCGACTGCGGCTGCGACTGTAGCTTCGGCTCCGGCTGCCGTATCCGGGGGAGCGGTAGCCCTCGCGATCGCGGTCCCTGTACGCCGGTCTGCCGCGCCGCGGTGGAGGGGAGCGCGAGGAGCGGCGGCGGTAGTCATCGCGGTCCCGGCTGCGGTAACGAGGTCTAGAGTTGGGTCGATCTTTGGTATAGTCCCCTCTTCGCTCTGAAGCTGGTCCCTGCGGAGGAGAGTGGGGCAAATCTTTCTCATGGCGAAGCAGAGTCAGTTACTACCATGTTCCAAAGCAAAGAAAAGATATGTGGACGGTTCATCAAAGCATAGCCTTCGCCCTGTGCTACTTGGTTTGCGGGGAGGAGGGCGTAATACCGCCAGGCGAGCGCGATCGGGAAGGCGAGCGATCGTCGTACATTCGGCCGTCCCGGTCATCGCGGCGAGGAACAGGTCGGTGCGGAGGTCCCGAAGGAAACCGGTTATCCTCGGGATTGAAATGCGACATGATGGACAGTCATTGGGGAGTGGACGAGGGAAGAAGTTGAGATGCGCTGAGAGAGATGCCGTCCGCGGCATCAAGGCGCCCATGCGGCAGAATCAGTGGCCGCCGCATATCACACCGCTTACTGAGAATTGTCGAGTCCATCGGCTATCCTACTAGCTCTTTTTGTTCTAGCGGCTCGAGGCCTGGGATATAGATCCATCCATTAACCATTCATCATCCATTGAAGATGGACACCGAGAATTGATTTTTTGCTAAAGTATACATGCTTTGGGAGATGGCGATACTACTTGCAGAACTTCATCGAGGATCATCACCTTTGTCATGTCATGGAAGCTATCAACTAGAAGCTCAGCAGTGTTCTTCCCGCATGATACGAGTATGATTGAGCCCTTTCTGGAAGAACGCATTGGTTTTCTCTTCAGAGATACGATGCCGTGTACAGTGTGTGTACATTGGCTGGTTGGCTGGCTTTTAGGGGTCTATCTCACACGATGTGGCTCAATTGCTGTCAGTCTAAATTTGGTTGTCTTGTGGACTACCGTGAATGTGATTCATTGCATTAATTAACTTCAGACGCGTGGTGAAATCGATGCCGAGGCAAGCATTCAGTTTTGAGAAATGAAGATTAACATTCCTGGTTGACGAGCGTGATGGACATGCTGACTGGGGATGTCCACGGGAGCCGAGCAGCCGAGGGGGGCGGCGCCCTGTAGGGCTGAGCCTCCCGGGCCAGGGTCCTTCTTCAGCCTCTTCTACACTGAACACTGAGGATCACTTGTAACGCATGGATTAACCATGTGTTATGGATTGGTGGTAGGCACACAGCCACGTCTTCATGCATTTCAACTCTCGACTACTGCATCTGGTTCCAGCACACCAGACAAATGAAGTCATCAAGTCAGAGCTGACTTTTGGATCTCCGCGGGCCCCGAGATCCCCACCCCCCGAGCCTTTTCCAAGCACCTTTATTTTCGTTGCCTGGTCTGACTGCCCAATCGGCAGCTTTGGGTCAGGGTCTGGTGGAGATATTATAGGGTTCTAATTGTTTCTCTTACCATACTTCTTCAAAATCCGAGACTGTCCGTATGACATGGGTAGTGCAATCACCAGGGGGAGAGGCGCCTCCATTCCAGGCAGCAAAAGTAAGCCCCCGCCGTGGCTGAGATTTGAACTCTGCTGTTTCTTCGGTCCTATTTTTGAGCCACACACAATTGAGAGAAACTCCCGATTCGCCCTTCATGGACCTGAGCTCATATAAGACGGTCGATCCCAACGGTTAAGACGTTCGCCCTGTGGTGGATGGATCTGAAACCCAGTCTTGGCAGTCACTACCACGCCATGAAGCTCACGGGGATCTTGCTTTCGACGCTGCTTGCTCTCGGGTCTATCCCTGGTATGACCTTCAGACCGCGTCAAGCCGTGCACTTCCTACAATACTGACTATGGATTTAGCAGGCAGCGTTGCTGTACCTACCTCAGGGGATGTGACATTTGAAGATCTCTCACGACGTGCCCTCCCCAACGCCCCCGATGAATATACTCCAAGCAACGTGAACTGCCCCTCCAGCAGGCCGACGATTCGAAGCGCATCCGCGCTATCGAAGAATGAAACAGCATGGCTGGATGTGCGCCGTCAGCAGACCATCTCTGCCATGAAGGACTTCTTCGGGCATATCAACATGAGCAACTTCGACGCTGTGTCGTACATCACCAACCATGCTTCCAACGTGTCCAACCTGCCCAACATCGGTATCGCCGTGTCCGGTGGCGGCTACCGGGCTTTGACGAACGGCGCAGGTGCCATCAAAGCCTTCGACAGCCGCACGGAGGGATCGACCCGGAGCGGCCAACTGGGGGGTCTACTGCAGTCCGCAACGTACCTATCGGGCTTGTCCGGAGGCGGCTGGCTGCTGGGCTCGATCTACATCAATAACTTCACCACCATCTCCAACCTGCAGACCTACAAAGAAGGCGAAGTGTGGCAGTTCCAAAACTCGATCATCAAGGGGCCCAAGACCAAGGGTCTGCAGATCTGGGATACGGCGAAGTACTACGAGGAACTAGTCAAGGTGGTGGCCGGGAAACGCTCAGCCGGGTTCAACATCTCCTTCACCGACTACTGGGGCCGCGCGCTCTCGTACCAACTCATCAACGCCACCGACGGAGGACCGAGCTACACCTGGTCCTCCATCGCGCTGACCCAAGATTTCAAGGACGGCAAGATGCCCCTGCCGCTCCTTGTCGCAGACGGACGCAACCCCGGAGAGACTCTGGTCGGCAGCAACTCCACCGTGTACGAGTTCAACCCTTGGGAATTCGGCAGCTTCGACCCGTCGATCTTCGGCTTCGCGCCCCTCGAATACCTGGGGACATACTTCGAAGACGGGGAGGTGCCTTCCAACACCACCTGCGTGCGCGGCTACGACAACGCCGGGTTCGTCATGGGGACGTCGTCGAGCCTCTTCAACCAGTTCATCCTGAAGCTCAACACAACAGACCTGCCCAGCACGCTCAAGAACGTCGCTGCCGACCTCCTCGCCGATCTAGGCGAGCGCAACGACGACATCGCGATCTACTCGCCCAACCCGTTTTACGGGTACCGCAACGCGTCGGTCGCGTACGAGCAGACCCCGGACCTCAACGTCGTCGACGGCGGCGAGGACAAGCAGAACCTGCCCTTGCACCCGCTGATCCAGCCGAACCGGCACGTGGACGTGATCTTCGCGGTGGACTCGTCCGCCAGCACGGCCAACAGCTGGCCCAACGGCAGCCCGCTGGTCGCGACGTACGAGCGCAGCCTCAACGCGAGCGGCATCGGCAACGGCACCGGCTTCCCCAGCGTGCCCGACAAGAACACCTTCGTCAACCTCGGGCTCAACACCCGGCCCACCTTCTTCGGCTGCAACAGCTCCAACCTCACCGGCCCCGCGCCGCTCGTCGTCTACCTCCCCAACTATCCCTACACCACCTACTCCAACAAATCGACCTTCCAGCTCAAGTACGAGATCGCCGAGCGCGACGCCATGATCACGAACGGGTATAACGTCGTGACCGTGGGCAACGGCTCCCGGGCCGCGTACGCCGACTGGCCGACGTGTGCCGGCTGCGCGGTGCTGGCGCGCTCGTTCGACCGCACCGGCACGGACGTGCCGTCCGTCTGCGCCGGGTGTTTCGACAAGTATTGCTGGGACGGCACGCGGAACAGCACGGAGCCCGCCGCGTACGAACCGAGTGTGCTGATGGCGGATGCAAAAAAGTCGGGCGCGGGGGAGAGGTTCGTCGTGGCGGCGAAGTGGTTGTATATAGTCCCGGTGGTGGTGGTGTGGACTGGCTTGGTCTAACGACCACCACCAGACCTCAACCCCACAAAACCAACTCTCCGCCCCCAATCCCCCCCCAAAAATCCCCTATCCAACAAAAGGGACCTCGTTATGGGGTTGGATGGCAGGTTCATGGGAGGATCTGGTGGGGGGAGGTGGGTATTCTCTCATCTCTGGAGTGAGGAGGAGTTGTGGGCTATGTGTGTTGAATTTAGAGAAGATATAGGAGTTCTGAGGGATTGGGTTGATGGTATTGTTGTTGAGGGGAAGAAAGGTGCGATGAGTGATTGCTGGAGGGTGGGCTTCGGAAGCTGGATGTTATTGTTCATTACCTGGCAGATGTTGTCTGTGTTGGTTCTCTTAGAGGAAGCAGACATAGCAAATGTATTTGCTCTGGCGCTGTTTGGTGTCGGAGTATCAGGTTGAAAGACTTGGGACTGGGTTGAGTAATCAACTTCACAGGCCTTGCTACATAAGTCATCAACAATTGCGTACTCTGGCATCTTATCACACCTTTACCCAATCTCCCTAGCAGGTGAGGGGAGGAACCATATCTGCTGATACGCAAACCCTAGGATCCAAGTGCATGAGCCAAGACCCCAATCCCGATCAGAAAGCGAAGTCATCTTATTAAAAATCTTGCTAAATTCATTCAGTTCATTTTCAGCCCGTCATCAAATTCATTTCACGCCTGCACCAGCACAACCACCGCCTCATACGGACGGAGCGACCATTTCCCACCACTCTGGAATCTCACCCCAGCCGACTCGGCGCTCTCGTATGTGTTCAGAACCACCCCCTTCACGGCCTCCACCCCATTGGCGACCGGGTCCCACTCTAGCGTCTGGTCGGTCCAGTTGGCCAGCACCAGCGCCTTCTGGTCCTCGTACTGCCGGGTATACGCGAAGACCGCCTGGCTCTCCCTGTCGACCAGCGTGTAGTCCCCATAGACGAAGATATCGAGATACTTCTTCCGCAGCCCCAGCACGGAGGACCAGTAGTGGTACGTCGACTGAGGGTCCTTGACCTGCGCCTCGGCGTTGACGCGCTCGGAGTCGGGGTTGACCGACATCCAGGGCTTGACGTTGGGGCCGGTGAAGCCGCCGTTCGGGCCCGCGGACCATTGCACCGGGGTGCGGCCGTTGTCGCGGGATTTCTTCTGGTATTCCTGGCGGGCGATCTTCTGCGCTTCGGTGTCATCGGGTTTCTGTTTAAGGAGTCTGCAGTCCAAGTACTAGTCAGTCTCTATTCCGCATCTTTTCTTCTTTTCCGGGCAGAACATCGTACCTATGCCAGTGGTTGAGACAGTCAATGTCCTTATACTCGCTGATATCCCACTCCACGGGCACATTCCTCATTCCCAGCTCCTGGCCCTGGTACACAAACGGCGTACCAGACTGCAGCGCCAGGATCGTCGCCAGCATCTTCCCGGCCTCGGTGCGGTACTCCTCCTTCGCGTTCGTGTACCGGTCAATCGAGCGCGGCTGATCATGGTTCTCCCAGTACAGGGCATTCCAGCCATCATTCTCGTACATGAACTTCTGCCACGTCTCGAAGAAGCTCTTGAGGTCGGTGAGCTTCCAGCTGCCGGGCCGGAACTTGTCGCCGTACGGGCCGTGGTCGATGTCGACGTGCTCGAAGTTGAAGATCATGTTGATCTCGTTGCGGTCGTAGCGCACGGCGCGGAGGACCTCGTCGGTGTCGCGGACGAAGGGCATCTCGCCCACGCTGAAGGCGTCGTACTCCTTCAGGATCTGGCCGATGCCCTGCAGGTACTCGTGCAGTCGCGGCCCGTTGGCGTAGTACTTGTCGCCCCACTGCCAGGGCGTCCGCGGATCCTGGACGGGCGCGTCGGGAAACCGCTGGTCCTTGCTGATGAAGTTGATGACGTCCATCCGGAACCCGTCCGCGCCCTTGTCCAGCCAGAAGCGCACGATGTCGTGCACCGCCCGGCGCACGGGCGGGTGCTCCCAGTTGAGATCCGGCTGCTCGGTCGCGTACAGGTGGAGGTAGTATTCCTGGGTGTGCTCGTCCCACTGCCAGGCGCTTCCTGCAGGGGTGGTGGTGGAAGTATCAGCATGGTGTCCCTATTTATGGGACGTAAAGCGGAAATTTACCTTGGAAGTGTGAAACCCAATTGTTGGGCGGTTGGCGGTTGCCCTGCTCGTCATACCGCGCCGGCTTCCAAACGTACCAATTCCGGTACTCGTTGTCCTTGGAACTGCGCGACTGCTTGAACCACTCGTGCTGGTCGCTGGTGTGGTTGACCACGAGATCCATGAGCAGCTTCATGCCCCGCGCGTGGCAGCCCTGGATGAGGTTCTCGACGTCCGCGACCGTGCCGTACTCGTCGGCGATGCTGTAATAATCGGAGATGTCGTAGCCCATGTCGACCTGGGGCGACTTATAGGAGGGGCAAAGCCAGACGATATCGACGCCCAGGTCCTTGATGTAGTCCAGCTTCGAGACGATGCCGGGGATGTCGCCGATGCCGTCATCGTTGCTGTCTTTGTAGGAGGCGGGCCAGATCTGATAGACGGAGCTTTCCTTCCACCAGGCGCGGTGAATCTGGGAGGAGGGTTTGGGCATCACGGGCTGAATGTGTATTACGGAGGGTGGTAAGGGATGGATGACCGTGAGAAATGAGGGTGATTGAAAAATGAGGGGCCGATCATCCTTCTTATTTGTTTTGTGTAGCTGGCAATGAGGGGCAGTGCTTCTGCGCTGTGCTCCATCAAAGATCAACTCGGGGGTGTCTCGCATGCGGAGAAATTCTCGGTGGGTTTGGTTGTCCACTTCTCCAGGGTGGTATGCCACTCATGCTTCGGGTCTGAGTGGATCAATTGCCCACACACTTCCAGTCTCTTATGGACATCTGGTTTATACATGCACCCACTTTTTTGGGGACAGGAGAGGGTGGGGGTGGAATGAGATGGTCCCCGGTTGTTTGGAGGGGCCAGGAGATGCAATGGCCAACTGGCGACCGCCACCATGCAACTCATCCTGCCTCTCGGTCCGACCTGTGACCAATTGACTTGTGAGAATCAATCCAGCATCTACCCCTCAACCATGGTATGCAGATTTGAGTATGTCGAGCATGTAAACTATAAGTAGACGGGTGTGCTTCTAACACAAGGAGGCACCGACCAGTGGAATTTACCCAATGAATATAGCATTATCAGCATTGAGGAATTGATCTCGAATTGAATCTAAATCATAGACACTGCACACACGCTAGCCTACCTAGTGCTGAGTAGTTATAGAATTGTAGATCATTCAGGCACAATGATGAACCGGAATTTCCCCGCCGGCAATCGGTTGAACTCCGTCGTCAGCTTACTACCTCCTTCTTTAAAGACAAGGCCATCACCTTCATAAACAGAACTGAATCTCATCTTCAACGTGAATTTGACTAGTCCGAAGACGATTGGAATAAGAACAATCACTTACAACATGGCCATCTACCACATCGGTACCTCAACCCCGCCATCTCTCCACAGTCCATACATTTGCCCACCCCCCCTACCCACGTTATTAGAACTAACAATCCCCATCCAGTCCTCTTCCGCCTCAAACCCGGCGTCACCAAGGCCCGGGTCGACCATTGGTCCAGCCTAGCGAAAGGCATGGTCGGTCAAATCCCTGGTAAGCTCGAGCGACCCGTTTGTTGAACCAAGACTAAGCCCTCCCCAGGTCTCCGAGAACTCCACGCCGGCAGCCCCCTCGCGGCCACAGCCGCCAGAGCCAAGGGCTTCGACATGGGAATCGTGGCGATCCTGGAGAAGCCCGATGTTGTACCAGTGTATGCCGCGCATCCTGCGCACCTAGAGTGGGTTGATCCGTTTCTGTCATCGAAGATGGGCCCAGTGACTAATCTGATGGTTTAGGGTGCACAAACTAAGAGAGGAGCTGTGCGATGATACATTGGTTTACGACTTGGAGTTTTGAGGCGAATGGTTGCATAAATCCGGGATGTGCTTAGGGCAGGAGGAGGAGGCTAGGAGGCTAGGACCAAGCTACAAGATGTACTGTCATGCAACGAGACTCTAAATACACGCGCTTATCTTACACTGCACCTGCACATCTGCGATGCTTAAACTTTCCCGGCTTGCACACCAGTAAATCCCGGGTGCATCCAGGGTATTACCAGCTTCGCAGCACCTTTCAAATTCCCCAGAGAAAGGATACGAGGTCAATGACAAGCCTTCCCGTACTTCCGCAACCGCCAATAGTTATACGGCAACGGAGCCAGATACCCAGCGCCCACCGACACGCCCGCCGCCAGCCAGAACCGCGGGTCCCCGACATCGACCACGCCCCCGGTCAGATGATAATCCACCGCATTCTCGGCGATCTCCATCGCCAGCATGGAGACCATGCTCATCCCCATGGCCGTCCGGCAGGCCATCGGCAGGGAGAGCTGGTCTGCGCCCCGCCAGAGGAGATACGTTTCAAGCATGACGGAGGTGGTTATGCCGGAGGCCACTGGTTCCGGAGTATCTGAGGTCAGTCGCTTGGGATCGTCGGAGTCGGTCGGGATAGAAAGGAAACGTACTGGATAGTCCCATGATCGTGCCCATCCCGAGATCCGGGGCAAAGCTTTGCAGCATCCAGAGGGCGGAGAAGTCACCGATGGTGCAGCCGATGAGGCACCGGAGGGTGTTGATCCGTGCGCGCTTCCATGAGGAGCGGCAGGTCCAGAACGAACGACTAAGAATGGAGGATGTTGAGGGCCGCGGCGCAGGGCTCGCGGGGGGTATCTGTGGGCTATGTTGTGTTGAAATTGTATTGTTATGGCATGGTTTCGATCCTCTCTTGGGTGGAGAGCATTGTTGGTGGTATACCCGGGAGCCAAGGAGGGACGATAAGGACGGAGGTAATCTTGTCCGTCGAGTGATGACACTCCTGCAGTGGAGATACATTTTCATCCTATTATTGCTGAGAAAAGTGCTCATAGGAGGTTTCAGTTCCAGGCACAGAAAAGCAAAAGGGCCGGGTTTATCTGTTCTTTATTGCGTTAAATTTCTGCCTCCCATCAACGCGAAAATCGCGCAGTCGGCGAATGCTTCCGGGGACTTGGGTAGAGTATCCTTCTTCTACAGGAATTGGACAAGCGCACCAAATGGTCAGCAAGGAGTTTCAGGCTTCGAAGATAGCTTTTTTGTAGAGAATATGCCTCTGTTGACCGTGAGCTAAGCTGGTTGCTCGATAGATTGTGTGGCGACGAGGGTATACACTACTGATACACGGCGGATTCCACAACTTCATAAAACAACGAGTTGTCCATCTAGTTCTAAGTTAGATCTACCTTTTTTGCCTAAGTTTCAGCAGTAGCGCACTAGTTAGATTGTTTGATCATCCAAAAATCCCCGCTCAATTTCCTGGCTTGAAAATTTCGAGAGACACGACGTTTGGAAGTGCTAGATCGCATACGACAGACTGGATTCGTAGGTGGGTACAACCGATGCCATACAATTTTGACAAACTCCGGAAGTATCATGAGAGCTCTGAGGAGCACTTGAGCAGAACACAATGAAAGGAACCGGTCTGGTGTCCTGATCCATGCGCCGTCGGGCTCTAGAAATCTCGAGGCTAACTCAAATGTCAACACTGCAGCAATCACCGTGGATCAGGGGACAACTTCCCGCTAATCCAGATATGGTAAAAGTCACTGCAGTCTCGACCGCCTGCCCGATCGGTCAGCTCCCCGCCAGCGCTGATCATTGATAAGCTATCTGAATGTAGTCATCGCATGTGGACTCTTTGCTTTATCTATTCTTGTTCGCCTGCCATTGATCTCGACTGGGGTCACATACACTTACTCTACTCGAGCACTCTTCCTACAAAAAGCATCTCACCCACTCATTATCCAATCTCTATCCGGAACCTCCAAACAAACCTCCCACAAACAAACCAGATACACCACCACCACCACCCCCCACAAACAGCGCCATACAATACACAACAAACCCACCATGTCCACGTCGACACCAACACCCCCTCCCTCCGAACCACAACCACACCCCCAAAACCAACAACAATCCTCCCAACCTCAAACCCAACAACAAGAAGAACCAGAATCCCTCCCCCCACACCTAAACCCAACCACCTACCCCCGCACAACGCACAACCCCACCCTAAACACACACATCACACTCACCTACGACCCGCTAGACGCCACCGCAGCCCTGAAGCTGGTCTCCTCCCCGCAAGCCGGCGCCAACGTTCTCTTCCTCGGCACCACGCGGGACACCTTCGGGGCGCGCGCGGTCGCGCAGCTCAGCTACACGGCGTACCCGCCGCTCGCGCTGAAGACGCTATCCCAAATCGCCGAGGCGGCGGTGCACGCCCACAACCTGCTAGGGGTGGCGATCGCGCACCGGCTGGGCGACGTGCCCATCGGGGAGAGCAGCATCGCCATCGCGGTGAGCGCGGGCCACCGCGGCGCGGCGTGGCGGGCCGGCGAGGAGGTGCTGGAGCGGTGCAAGGAGCGGGCGGAGATCTGGAAGCGGGAGGTGTTTGTTGATGGAGGTGGGGAGTGGCGCGAGAATCGGGAGAGGGATCGCGAGGGGGGGTTGGTGGGGTAGTTTCTTGAGATTTATCTGGGGGGAAGAGGAGGGGGGGGGGGGGAGGGGCGGAATTGCATAGCCGGGTTTGGAGGGTGGAAGTTCAAGGGCGTTGGAGGGGTGTATATACTTGAACTGGGTGCGGAGAGGAATGTCCATGTGTAACTCTAGATATTCATGGCGAGTTATTGAGCTGCGAGGCCGGCCACACGAACAACGAACATTTCAGTTTCTTCACATTTTACAGAGTAGGGTATTATATTGTACACATATTGGGCCCCCCCAAACCAAACAGCCACGAATCTAATCCTTTTTCAAAGGCTTGCCCTCGCGCTTCCAATCGTTAATGTGCTCCATAATAGTCCGCGTGGCGGACTCAGGCGTGTCCTGGCGTCCGATACACTCCACGAAGTCGTTATCCGGGTCTGCAGCAAAGGCACGAGAAAAGATTAGCCCAGGCCCTTTACTATCTTCCAATAAGAAAAACTCACCCATAAGGTAAAAGTAAATACTATGGTCGACCAAATAATCCTCTCCCGGCTTGATATCCCGGGGAGTACTGAAGTACACGCGATACTGCTTGCACACATTGCGCACCTGGTCGTACGTGCCCGTCAACCCGATGATGCCCGGGTGGAACTCCTTCAGATACTCGCGCAGCACCTCAGGCGTATCGCGGACGGGGTCACAGGTAATAAACACAGGCAAGAAGATCTTCTCGCCGCCCGTGGCCTCGTTGACCTTGTCGATGATCTCGGCCATCTTGTCCAGCTCGTCCGGGCAGATATCCGGGCAGTGGGTGAATCCAAAGTAGACCTAGCAAGCAAGCCACACAATCAGTGATTTTAATTCTGGTTGACTGCACACAGGGACTCCGGCGAACTCACAAAACTATACTTCCCCTTCAGATCCTCGGCGGTGAACTCCTTCCCATCCAGATCCTTCAGCGTAAAGGGCCCCCCAACCTTGGGCTTGCCCACCCCCTTGCTCATCTCCGCGATGCGCTTGCGCTCCAGCCGCTCCTTCTCCACCCGAAAATAAATGATCATGCCGCCGCCCGTCAGCACGAACAGCAGCGCCGACTTCCACGAGAACGGGCCCGTCGAGTTGCGCGCCTTCAGCTGGCCCATCGTCGGGGATTTCTTGAGGTGGGCCCGCGAGGTCGAGAAGGCGCGGTGGGCGATGGTGGTGGTGCCATTGTTCAATGTGCAGGCGGCGGCCGTTTGGGTGTTCACGGTCGTCCGTGCAAGGGTTCGAGTTCGAATTAAAGTGGTGGGCTCGAGCGAGAACGGGGAAGCGCGCGAGGCACGCGCCAGAATGCGGCTCGCCGGTCGAATTGAGGAAGCCATTATGTCGAATTTTATTCAATTGATGGGGATGGAGAAAAGGGCAAGAGAACGTGGCCTGACCTGACTGCGCGGAGGATTTTGTTTCTCGGACGGAGAACTTAACGGCGGTCGGTCGGCGCGGAGGTGTGCCCGGCCTGTGGTTTGGATGGCGCTCTAATCCGGCTGGCCCGCCGCCGGGGGTTTGGCTTGATCGAGTCCATTTACGGTTTAGTGCGGTTGATGGTACAGTGAATCTGGGAATATCACGTGAAACTATCTACAGAGTATAGAAAGTATATCGAACAACTTATGTTCGAGGACTTTGGCAACAACGGGCTGTCTTGGTTTACTTTCATCTTCTTCGACTTCCTCCTCCTCCTCCTCCTCCTCCTCCTCCTCCTCATCATATGTTTTGTCTTCCCCACTCACGTCCCACACAAACGTCCTGCTAACGCCGTGTCCAACACATCCACTTCTAAGCAGGGCTCTCATTACGCAAACACAGGCAATATGAAGGACACAGACAAGAAGACAAAGTAATCCGTTGACACAAACGCCACTGATTGCTTCGAGGCCAACCCGAAAGATGAAGCTGCCTCTGACATAGATACTGATATCATCGAAAAGCGCCTACAGTTGGTAGAAGTCCTTAAAGAGGTGTTCTCGATTTTCCGAGCCCGCATCCTGAATAGTGACTACGACCATCTTCTCTTCGAGATTTCTGACGATGATTATCCAACTTTCCCTGGAGAATCACTGCCTCAATATGACGGTACCCCTGGGCCCCCTGAAGTATTCTTCACCATCGGGTCTACTACCTTGTCCACGGACGAGATCATCGCCGCTAATCGCGAGCTGCCTGAACCCAACTGTGAGAGAACCCGCCAGCACAAGCTGTAATCCGACTTTCCGAGTGTGGTATCAACCCCCTCGGTTCACAGGCAGGGTTAATTTAAAAGTCGAAGTCCGTCTCACCTCCTGAATCCCTGTGTTGACATTCATTACAGTGTGATGTACCGCGCATGTAGTAGATCTGAGAAGGCCAGGGTCGGCGTTACACTTTGCCTATCTTTCACTGCAAACATGGAATCATGAACTTGGGTAGCATTACATTAATCAAACCGCGTGCTTTCCTCGCAAGCAAAGTCTGGATATCCATGAAGAGAATGTGTCCCATGCAAGCAATGCTCACCGGATCTCAGTTTCTTGGATCAAAAGGAGTATGCGGGTCGAATATGGCACATGGAATGTGATCGAAGGAGACATGCGAAAGCGGGGCAAGGAGGTATTGTCGTACGAGAAACAAAAAGGAAATGCATGACTGGAAGGACGTAACAAGAAACGCAAGACGGGCTTTGGGCCGAAGTTGGCCCTCAGGCGGTATGTACGGTCAAGCTTTCCATCTCACTGTACACTGCGGCTAGCCATACTGGCACGGCTAGGCGTGGTGCGCGGCTCCTCCTCTTCAATGACATCGCTTAGGCGAGTAGGATGGCGATGCCGGGGAGTCATTGATTCCCACCCAGAGCCGACGCCCCAGCCCGAGCCACTGTAGTCGACACTCTGGTTGTAGCCTCCATAGATAGACCCTGACGATGCAGGCAACGAGCTGGGAGGGTATCCTGATTCGTCTAGTGAGCCGTGCTCATAATCGTCGCTCCCTTCGGACATTGTCGGAGGATAAACAATCGGCCCTTGTGAATTGCGGCGATAGCTGGCCCCAAATTCGTCTTCGCCTGGTTCACTGCTGGCTACACTAGGACCATACGAGCGATCGTCATTTTCTGACGTTGGTCGAGCAGGGTAGCCGGGCTCTTGGTCGTAATAGTGCGCAGGATACTGCCTCTGAGTTTCTGCAGAAGAAGCCGGTGGCGGTCCTTCGACAAAAGGATCCGTGCCGGTGGGCGATGCAGCGGTCTCGCCATAGTATTGACCTTCGGTGTCCACCGTGCTCTTTGGCGCTCCTTCCCCACTAGTAGCTCCACCGGTTGCATAGGGGCTCTCGCGAGTTTGGGAACGAGCGGTCGATGCCTGACGATGCGAGGCCCCAGTGACCATGGGCACCACTTGCACTCCTCCTACCAACGTGGGCTCGCCGTTACGGAGGGAATTGGTCCTCTCGCGCTCCTCCTGCTCGCGCCGACCAAGTTCTTCCCAGGCGCGGCGAGCCTCTTCTTTCGAAATTTGCAACTCCCGACGCATCTCTTTGAGCAATTCTTCCGCGCGCGACTTGTCGCTTTCAGCCTTCTGTAGGGAGGCAAGAGCGTCCGCGCGGGCTTGCCGTTCAGTTCGGATCTGCCGCTCGAGCTCTGCTTGCAACTCCTTCGCCCTTTCTTGTTCCGTGCGAGTGTCGAAGAACCAGCGCTGAAACTTCCGCTCAGAGGATGCGCGCAACCGCTGCAGCTCTACAACGGCGTGAAACAAATTTGCACCAGCAGCAGAAAGGTCAGTGACTTGACGAGCCATCTGCTGATTAAGAGGATCTCGCTCGAGTGCTTCGTTGTTCTGTTCCAGCTTGCGGATCCAGTAGCCTGTCAATCCTTCCCAGTGAGATGACAGAGTCTCCCAACGCTCGAAGGCATGCGGGAACGGCACTCGGCGAGATTGCTGTTGCGGTTGAGATCCTGTGCTCGGTTGGTTAGACGCTGGGGCTTGACCTTGCGGTTTGGAAACCCCTGCAGAGCTCTGAGGCGGGATTTGAGACTGCTGAGCTGGATTGAATTGTCCTGCCGATGTCGTCGGCCTCGCATGACCATGTCCCGCACCGGTGCCTGTTGCCTGTGCGGGAGACAAAGGATCTGGCCGTCGAGCGTTGCTAGTCGACCGTTCTGGAATGGTGGTGGTGCGTAAATCTTGCGCCTCCGGCCCTGTGGGCGCCCTTTGCGTCGCTCGCCGTTGTGAGCCTCTGTCACCGGCAACGCCAGCAGCATAAGGCTGCGCTTGCCCTTGAGCCTTGCTTTGCTCCTGCTCCCGATCCCTAGCTTCCTGTTCTGCCTTCTTGCGAGCCTCGCGATCCCGGCGCTGTCTCATGATGTCCGTTGGAGTCCGCACACCACTTGGCGGGTGTGGATTGACAGGGACCGGGCCCTGGGCGGCTCGAGACGATCCATTCTGGGTGCGACCATTGGCGCTGAAGCCGGTTGTACCTGCTGCGTCAGACATGAGTGCATTCACTTCTTCCCAATCTGTTGTAAAGGGAAATGGTTTGCGAATCGCTTCTTCCAGCGTCCAAAGAATCGCAGATCCTGTGCGGGGGGAAACTCGTGTAGACCTACGAGGCCAGTGCGAGGTGTCCGCCCGTTCAAGATGATCTTCCGGTGCCGAGTCGGCCTCCTCGTCGTGATCTGTATGCGCTTCCGAAAGCGCAGGACGTAATGCAGCAATACCGTTACCGTGGTCCGAGATTGACTGCACCAAGACAGGAATTGTGTGCTCTACTTCGATAGGACGTCCGGACACATCGACCGATGGTGAGCGCTGAAAGTGACGAGACGTTCTCCGCAACGATCGAGTACTTCCAAAAGCACTCGAAGGTCGTAGTTCTGGGTCAAAGGTAGGTTCAGGTAAGGGTCGGGGAGCAGCCTGCTGCTGGCGTTGCGGTGAAAGAGTCGTCAACGTATGTGGATCGTGTACTTCGTAGGTCTCGTTAAACGTGCCGCGATAAGGATAAGACACTGCCGCAGTGGTATGTGAGCGAGGCGGATGCGGATGCGACGACAACGTGAGTGCTGGGACTCAAATTTCAATTCCCTTTCAATGGGGCTCCAGGAACAGGAGGCTTGCGATCGAAGGGTGGGCTTGGTAACGTGTCAGGGGAGCTGCACAACTTTTGGCAGCACGACTCCGCTTCTTGTCCAGCACACGCACGATACACCGGCCACTGAACAGGCAATGGTAGGTCAGTACGTAGGAGACAAGTGGAATGTGGGTATCTCGGTGGATTGAAACACGGGGGAGAACAGCAAAGAGGAAGGGGAGAACATTTCAGAGCGAGCCACGCGACTAAAATTGGCAGTGGCTGGTCGAATAAGAAGGGTCGAAGGGGACGTTGTGGAAAATGCGATGGCTGGGGGAATCGGAAGCTGCAGTTGCGCTCACCTGTTCCTGAGAAAGCGCCCTGCCAGACCGCAACGAGCACTACTTCAGAGGCCCGTGGCCGGCATGGAGCAGAGCGAGACAGCCCAATTGCCTCCTTACAAAAGGGGGAGAAGGGGAGCCCAAGCTATGAGGCGGTCTGGATCCAGGGAGTGTGAAAATTGAAGACAACAACAAAGTGGAAAGAAAAGAGAGATGAAAATTGAATTGGAAGAATTGGGAAGAATTGGAAGAATCGGGCAAGAGCTTTGCTTGGGAAAGAAGGGAAGGTGAAACGGGGGTTTTAGCCGGTACCAAAGACTGTACCAAAGAATAGGTAGGAACGTACCAAACAAAGTGTCGAGTAAATCTACCCGATCGCAAACCGATGGTTATGGATTCACCAACTCTGACTACCCTTGTCACCTCTTGACTGATGTTATACGGAATCGAGAATGGACAAGACAAGATGACGTTGGTTTTCTTCTGCACAGCGCAAGGACCAGATCAAAATCCCACACGCTGACACACACATCCAAACTTGTCTTCCTTGCCTTCCCACCGCCCCCCCCCAGCCTTTACAGGTTGCACACAGCTCAATTAAGGCCGACTGCGACTCGTCGGATAACCCACAATTTGACTACCCAAGGTGACTGATTCATGAGCTTGCCTGAGCGTACTTGGTTTTGAGTCCCGTTCCTTCTGCTGATCGCGGGTTGATCGCCTTTAGATCAGTGTTGGATCTCGACAATCTCCGTCAGATCTTTCCTCCTGCACATGAACCAAACAAACATCCCTCGTCATGGATCCAGTACCTCTTTTTACGTCGATGAGAGCCATTGCATCATCGCGACAAACCGTCCGGCAATTAAGTATATATAGAAACCCGCGCTAGCCAAGCTCTGTCCTTGCAATGGCCCAATCCAAGGCGGATGTGCTGGCGATTCCTGGCTGGGGATTCAGTCCCGACCCGTCATCATCAGGACGCCGCCTGTCAACTCCTTCTCTGCCCATTCTGTCAAGTCATGACTGTCTAGATAAGTTGATTTTATGTTGGCTGGAAACAGCCTCATCATGAAGTGTTGTTCAATCGCCAATAATGGCAACTTCACGCGAGCGAAAGCGATTTGTCGACATCCCAGCAGTTCCTGACCTTCGGGCTCTTGCTCAGCGACTCCACATCGGCTCCATCAGCGGAGCACAGACCTGGACTTGCTGATGTCGGTACCTTAGACTATTGACTAGTCCTCTTTCATGGTCGCACGAGAGGCCGTTGATCTATCCGGAGAAATTCGATCTGGACCTTTTGAGATCCATCACTACCTTGTCACGCTCGGATTTGGGTGCTACCAATAAGACTCAGCAGATGACACCCCTGGTCCATTTAGTTCGTCGTCCTAGGAAGCTTCAGTCACAGAGTTGGTCCCTGTGTTTGTTCTTACCGTTTGGGTCTCATTCGGTTCTTAGTAGACGTTCGGAAGTTGAAGGAACCAGCTACCTGGTCAGCTTACAACCATCTCCAAGCCTTTTGGGACAGACGAGTAAGATGCAAGGGCCTTTCGGCTCGGCTCCCAATTGACTTTGAGGAAAGCTTTTCCATCCGTCCCGGTTTCAGACCTATCGAACTGCCTTGCAGCCGGTCTCACACACAAAAGTGCTTTGCTCACATCGTCTCCTGTTCAATTTGCCACCCAATCTGGTGGGAGCGAGAAAGTAATTAATGGTCCAAAGAAAGGTGGGGAATTGGAGCGCCGCTTGTGTCAAGGCCGTCAACTAAGTGCAGCTCACAAGACGACCACGACCACAACTTAGTCTGATAACTCTTCACTGAGGTCTTGTCACCAAAGTGCGAATCTGGACGTCGGCAAGATGTGACAGCTGTGGTTTCCGAAACGTCGGGCAGAAAGGCCGCGTGAAGAAATCGTCAGAACTATATGCAAAATTCCTCGGGACAGCAATCCACATCAATAATTTCTATGCATCGGTCCATGAGTCCAGTGACATTCGAGGCGGCGATCTTATGCTAACCGTACTCTGTATGCCGACTATGGCCGCGCACCATGTCTCACGCAGGTCCCCTCAGAAGTAGATTTGCATCGAAGCATGCATAAGGTGAAATAAGACCATAGCCTGATATGCAGGTCCGGAATGCGGGCCTTACAATGCGTTGCGTATCCGACGGACGAGACTTGACCAGTAGGCAGGATCGGCATACGAGTATCTCGAACCTTTTGTTTTCTCTGTTCTGATGTCCTTAATATATCTGGGGCAATCTAACATCGAGACTGCTCTGAAAGGAACAGGCGGAACAAACATGAACCTGCTGCTATGTCTGTAACGATAACCCAGGACAAACCTGCGATCCTCTGAGACGGATCCAGGAGTGACTAAACGGGTATTGCGGTTGTCGATATATATTTTCGGGAAGACACCAGAAGATGCACTTGTGGGGTTGTTGCCACTACACGGCTTCCATTGCGCTTAAATCAAGCAACAAGGAACAACGGCAATGATTAAAGTCTAACATTTACGAATTGCATCTCGGACAAGTGCAGAATTTGTCATTGGAAAATCGGCTTCTACTCCCTTTCAATTGTCTGCAAGCGAGTGAAGATTCGCGACAGAATAGCGCTAGAACAGGGATAACATCCTGTCCAGCCTTTGTTCTGGACGGGGGGTGGCCAACAAGGACTCACAAGAAAAGCTCCCAGGCCAGCGGACCAGCCTGTCGGAGATTAAGAGGAAGAAGGATCAGGTTCTTCTTGGAACCAGACCACAATAGGGATGGCGCTGGAAGGCAGGCAGACAGATTTCGAAGCAGGTCTGACTTCAGCTCCTGGAACCCTCATGCAAGCCCCCGGTATCATGGCAACCCGGTATGATAATCTGGAATGCGGCGGACCCTGGTCTACAATTTTCTCCGAACACTATGGGTACCAAGAGCTTCGACGGGGTTTGGCAAACCACGGAGGTTTTATGACGAAAGACCCAGATTTCAAAACTTGATCCGATCCACTACAATCTGGCTATCAATGAACTGAATGAAGTAGTAGACCGGGCTTGACAAGGGATTTTGAGGGATGTTGGAAAGGGACGACTGTCTTCACGATCAAGGAGAAAAAAGGATCGACGGCAGGATCGACGTATCACTGCGGAACTAGGTTAGCGAGTGGCCTGTGTCCCAGCGTCTCGGATGGGCCTGATCTCTCACATTTGCCCATCCTCTACCTGCCCCTCAACCTTTGTACAGGGAAGACTTCTAGATCCTCTGTGCTTTGATGCGTCCTGTGGGTAGAGGCTTGCGATTTCTGTGTGTTCTCGTCGACTACCGTACCTGGAGTCCACAAACCTTGTAGCTACTTGTGGACTGACCTTGGCCTCGTTCGCACACAACCCAAAAAAAGTCTTTGGCAGTCTTTCGCAGTCCGTTTATTCAAGATCATCGCATCGAAACGCGCAGTGCAGGAAACCGACCTGGTGGTTGGCGCCCTCAAAACCCTGCCCTTAGGGATAGGAAGACCAACCGCGAAAGATGTTGAGATCCTTCCTCTTTCGAGGGTGCATGGGCAACAAGGAAGCTTAACGGGAATGACCCAAAACGAGTTATACTAGAGTAAGTCAATCCTAGAGTTCATAATGAGACCCCGCGTCAACTAAGTTGCGGATCGAGATTCCGAGCCTCCCTTGCTCCTGCGTCGAGGGGCGACCTGCCTTGCTGCACATCCTCATCCCTACCGAAGAACAGGAAGATGTAAGGTCTGATAGGTCATTGGTGTCTGTCCCCACAGACGTTAGAGCTTTTGTTTACACCTCTGAGCATTGGCATGCGTCGGAGCTCCCCCCGGCCTAGCCACCGTTGCAATGGTTGGATATGCCCTAGGTGGGCCAAGGCGACGTTGTTATTTTTGGCGAGATATGTATAAACATATTCTCCCCTTGGTCCTCGCCATTCTTGATTCAACTGTCTCAATATATTCCTTCGTTTAGTTGATGTCTCTCCTTTCAATTGTACTACGAATCCACCACGTCTCTGTCTTATGCCTCTGATGAGCTACTTGCATGCCTGAATGACCACGACCAATCTCTCGCTTGACCACAGAACCATAGCCCATGGCTAACGGATACTCTCGCATGCCCGGCGAAGTGAACGCCTCTTACAATAACCGCAAGATATCGCATACCACACTTTACCCCGAAGCCATCCCGGCCAAAAAGCGGGCTTCATCATTCTGCCCTGTCCGAGGCCCGGGGATCGTTGACGAGTCGAACCCAGATCCCTTTTATCTGGAGCACACTCTGGCAGAAGGTGGCCCCTGGGGCCCTGGGCGGCCGCACAGTCGCGATGTCAGACATAGTGACGAAGCCAGTCAGTACTTGATGCTTGGGTCTTTACACAACAACAAAGGCGGTCCTTTCGCAATCTCGTCGCGTGGAGATACCACGAGGTTCCGATCCAACGTCAACCGGTCCACTCTGTCGGTGGTTGAGTTGGAGCATCAATTGAGCCTCCGCGAAATCACTGCCAACCAGCCCTGGGGAGGAAAGTTTCCAAGCTACGATCAATCGTCTTTTAGCTCCGTGCAAACCGACGCGACGCCGGATTTGACACCCAGCAGTTCATTCTCTTCCAACTATTCCGCCCTCACGAACCGGGAAACCATCACTTCGGGGTCAGAATATCAGGCTTTGCTCAACCATCAAGCCCCGCCCAGTCCTAGGCGCCAAGTATATCCGGCTTCATCTACACCTACCAACCTATCTCAGACAACGTTGACAACGGAGCCTTCAACACCGACGCGGTCGTTGAAGACGCTCGCCGGGCCATCCAACGCATCCACAGACACTCTGGTCATGCAGAGAGTAAGTAGTCACGATCCCGCATCAACCCGTGGGAAGCCATTGCCGTCACTGCCCAACGGCGTCCGCAATCGAAACAGCAAGCCCGGTAAGAAAGGGCCACCGCCAGCTCTTCGTCCTCCAATCGCCCCGTCCATGATATCTCCACCTTGCTGGTACAACCCAGTGACCAAAGAGCCTCACGTATCGCACTTCGACCAGGCTATGTTTATTTCTGGGAATGACCGTCCGAGCCCGGTGCCGAGCCCGGGCCCAGCGTCACCATCTGTTGAGCGCCACCCGATGGCTAAGCGGCCAGCAACCTCACCGGCGGGGATGATCTGCCAGCACGAACAGTCGGTTTGGGAGTCCGACTCGGATAGCGAGTCAGTTGATCCGAGGTCCTTGTCCCGCAAGCCCATGGACACTTTGAAGAAGGTCCGAAGCCGAGTACATCTTCGCGTCGCCAAGTCGGCCCCAAAGCTCAACAATACTCAGGGTCAAAGTCCACACGCACAGGGATTGGAAAGATTCCCTTCCACGCCCGATCCACCTCCGGAGCTGCTATGCCCGTCGCCTATGCGAGATCTCATTCGGTCTCGGTCCAAAGACATTCTTCGGCCCACCGCGCAGCAGACCCTGAGACTAGTCGCCCCATCTACGACCTCACTCGTTCAACCGCGATCGCGACGCAATAGCAACGGGGCCGTGAACATTGACATGGACCGCACGACGGCCGCTGCCATGCAAGCGAAGTCGCGACGGCGGCAACGATCGGACTCATCGCCCAAGGTTCTGACTGAGGCTGAAAAGCTGTGTACTCTCTGCCGGGAGGACCGATCTGACCGAGCGATTCACCAAAGTCTCACCCTCGCGCGGCCCCCGCTCTATAAACGGGTGTGGGAGTCGTTGCGCGTCCTGGGCTGTCATGGCGATCTTCCTCCCCCGCGACCCCGCCGACCCATGTGATCTTCTTTGATGCCCTTGATTTTGTGCGCGGACAAGTTCGGATTGGCGCCGAACCAGCTTCTCGAAAACGCATTCACGACCAGTAGTCGCGACGACTTTTCACGTTCCCTTTTTCTTGATCCAACTTTAATGTCTTATGATGCTACCTGATGAGCCTCAGATGAACAGTCTGGGCGGTTTATGACTGGATGCTTCTCCATGTCACCCCATGATATAGCGAGACGCATGCGCTGAGTATGGAAACATGACTCAGCCGTCTAATGATGCAATGAACATCATCACAATTGATGCGGCAACGAACAGGCGTGAGGGGCCAGCGTGGCCCTCAATTCTTGTCTCTGCTTACAGCTTTCTGCTACTTACAGCTTTGCTTACGGTCTGTCATATACACACCCTGCCGGTCTTTTCCACCAAGTTGAACCTTGGACGTTTCCTTTCGTATCTTTCCAAGTTCTCTCATCCACATTCACTCAACATTTCTCTCATGGTGTCTCTACGCCCATCACTCCTTGACTCCGACCTGACCACGGTCATCCCCCAATTTCCTAGTGTCCCAGTGTCCTGTCCATAGAAGCCAGTAATTGAAGGCCATATTTTCGCCTTGTCAAGCATGCATGCCTTCCATTGCCATACTCGTGTAAATCAAAACAAACAAGCCCGGTGGGGCTGGCTTACATACCTGAATTGAATTTTTCCTTGTCTGGAATGTGTGGGGTAATTCCGTCCATGATTTTTTCTTCTTCACTCGGCAAGTGCGAGTGTAACGATGGCGAATCTGGGAATTTCAGGATCCAACGCCGGGGTGGAGGGTGTAGTCTGGACCAAGGCAAGATCCCTGGTGGTCGTTTTCTGGGGGGTAGGAGTTTATCGCAGGGATAACCCTTGTGGAGAGATTGCGAAATTTGTCAAATCGGACTCACTGGTCCAAGTGTTGTAGTGTGATGGACGAGGTAAGAGCCCCTTTACATGTAGTTTGTAGCAGCGAGTTTGGGGCCAGATGGAGTCGTAGTCTGATGTCTGGTCTAGTCTAGCTAGTCTGGTATATCTTATTGAGTGTTCAGTGATTCACCCACTTGAGCTGCCCACTTCCATCCCTGCGTATGCGGTTCTGCATCGCGAGACATAATTCATGTCCCTTAGATCGCGGACACTGGCTGAGCCTCCAGGTTATCTTCCAGCATCTGGGATGACTGTACGGTGAGCAGACACTACCACCTCCACCACCAATCCACCAACCGTGCAGCACAGCACAGCCCTTGTCTCCCTGTCTGGCTCCTCCCGTCGACGGGATGTCTCAAGGGCCGCCGCAGTGCCGTTCTGCATGTCTCATGCAAGTGACTGACTTGGTTCTGCAGCGGATGCAGCGCTTGAGACGAGGTCTTTGGCAAGCTGGGATAGGGCCCTTGGCAGGTAGGCCTCCCGCTCGTAACCCGTCCGTACGATACGGTAGGTAGGGTAGGGTAGGGTATATCCGCGCCTGTGGCTGCCCCTTCGTCTCCCCTCGCCTCCCCATCCCAACAACCAGCCCCAAGCAGGAAGCAAAGCGCAGCCCCCCACCCTCCCCAGGCAAGAAAATCGAAACCAACCATCCCCCCCCAAAAATCAACCCGACAACTCCTTCAACTCCAACGCATCCATATTCTCCTCCCACAGCGCCACCTGGACCCGCCGCTCCCACCCGGAAATCACCTCCTCCGCCTTGCGGGCCAATTTCGTCTCCGGCAGGTCCGGCTGGGCCCCAGTCCCGGACGTAAAGTCACCCCCCTGACCTGGAAGCTCATCCGCAGAAACCACCCCCTCAAACACCTTCCGAATGTCCAACTCCCGGACCGCCCGACGATACAGCCCCAGCAGTTCGGCGCGTTTCTTCTCGCGGGGCGTTTCCTCCGCTGTTGCTTCAGTGGTAGTCGTGGCCGAAGCCGTAGCCGTAACCGTAGCACCTCCACCACCACCACCACCCACACCCACACCCTCGCCAGCCGGGAAATCCTCAAACCCAATCACCGTCGCAGCGACACCTTTATCTTTAGCCACCGGTGGACCCTGCCTGCCCATGGCGCTACCGGGACTGGAAGTAGCACTGCCACCGGGTTTGCGGACCCCCTTCCGCGTCGGCTGCTCCAGCCCGCGGATCGCCCCCTCCAAGATCCCCAGGATCGTGCCCACGCGCATGCCGAGCTGGGCGCCGATGGGGAAGCCCGCGTCGAAGCCGGATTGCACTTGAGTGGATTTGGAGGCGGCGAGGCCGTCGCGGTAGCCGGCGGTGACGTGTTGGCGGCGGAGGGAGGGGAGGTCGGAGGGTTCGTTTGCGGGAGCGGGAGTGTGGTGGTGGTGGTTGTGGTCGGGGGCGTCGTGGGGTGGGGAGGAGCCGAAGATGTCGTCTAGAGTGTTTTCCATTTTTGTGTCGTTGTGGAGGGTGTTGGGGGTGAGGTGTATGTGTATGTGTATGTAGGTAGTGTAGATGGTGAGGGGGGAGTTCGGGATTGGGAAAAAAAGTTCGAGCGGGGAAAATGTTATACGGAGACATAAAATGATGACGAGTGGAGTCGCTTCGGGGTTAGTGGCGTTAAGGCCTTCCGTAGTTAAGGTTGGGTGGTCGGATCTGATATGATTTGATTGTATTGTATTGTATACTCATACTTTTCGATTGTATGTGACTATATCCTGAGTGGCAACGGAGAATTGAGAATAGATCTTGTTAAGTTTAGGATACAGGTAGTATCTATCTCCAGCTACTCGAGTCGGTTGAGTTCACTAGTATGTCTTCCAGGACAGCGACAGCTACTATAGGCCCAAACTCGCCGAACCCTCACCCTCCATCCTCCCCCGGAACAACAAAGTCATACGGTGTTTCGGAGCGCATTACTCTCCGTTCACCTTTCTTCACCAGAATAAAGAAGAATAAGTAGTGGCGCATCACCAAAACCCTTTCCAAAAAACCACTCTACCTTCTGGTATGGTAGTCCATACCCAAGTCAAGCAAAATGCCCCGCCTCCGCCTCCTCTACCTCCTCACGCCCCCCGCCCTCCTCACCTACACCATCCACCGCACCCTCACCCGCCTCGAAACCAAATACCCCCCCGTCCCCGCCGACCAAGGCAGCACCCGCGCCCTCACCACCCCAGCCAACCCATCCACCCAACGCTGCGCCGAAATCGACATCTACCAGGCCCGCGTACCCGTCCGCGCATTGCTGCGCGCGGAGGCCGCTCTCACCGGCACCACCAACCCCAAAACCATCACCGAGAATAACACCGATAATCCCGCCACACCACCAGAAGTCTCGCAAGCCACGCTCCAAAAAGCATGGGCTCACCTTTTCCTCACCAGCCCCATCCTCCAAACCGAAGCCAAGCTCATCGGCCTCCTCACCACAGGGCGATTCCACCCGGGGGATGTGGGGTTGTCGGCTGGGGGGTTTGCGCCTTTACCGTCGGACACCGTCACCGACAATGACCTCAAGAATCCAGAAAACCAACCCCAGCACAAACGCCAACTCATCAACGGCGGCTTCACCGTCGAACGGGCCCCCGAAATCCCGGGGGGATTGCTGGCCAGCTGGCGCATCCCAGCCGAGGCACGGGCGTTCTTTGAGCGCCTCGCGCAATGGGGGTATCCGTGTCGGTTGATGAGTGGCGGGCGACATGAGTGGGGGGTTTCGGAGGTGTATTTCTGCAAATCAGAGGAGGGAGAGGGAAAGGCAGGGGCAGGGGCAGGGGAATGGGTGGTGGATGTGCGGTTCGGGTCGGCGCACGATTATGAGATTGTGGAGGCGGAAGGCAACGCACAAAAGGTGGTGCCGCGGTGGGTGGGCAGGTTGCATCGCGGGTTTGCGAGGCTGTTGGTGGAGGATGCTGTTCGACGGTTGAGGGATTGCTAGGTGTATTGATGGGGTGGATAGCTTGTGTTGCTTTACTCGGGGATCCGAAAGACCATGAGTGACGCTTGCCCAGGAGTTCATTATTAGTATGGAGAGCATGCCACTATTGACACGGCTCCTTATTGACAGGATACCATGCTCAGAGTCTGGTACAATGAGAGATTATATTATCACAGAAAGGGTAAAAAATCACAGAAGCAAAGAGAGAACTACCTCAGTAGTGCGAGCACCAAGTGTACACTGCACTGCACTACTCAACACAACACAACACAACACAACACACCCCAGAGGTGCCTGTACTGTAGTCTAACAATCCTCTCCATGCGCTACCACCCCCCACCCCCTCCACCCCGTATACTTCACGCACACCTCCCATCCGCTCCGGATCACCTGTACATCCTTCGAGTCGGTCTCGCACCCCGCCCTATACAGACACAGATCGTATGGGCTGCTCGTGCTGGGGCTCTTCCACGAGAACGTGTCCACGGTGCTCGCGTTCAGCCCCGCGTCCAGCGCGGCGCACCCGTCCGTCGCCGCCACGCCCTGCCGGTGCCAGAGCGAGAGGTCGAACGAGGTCGTGTTGGGGTCGCAGCCTGGGCTGAAGAGGCGGAGGTCCCACTATGTGTATACATTAGTGTGTGGGTGTATTTTGGGTTGAGGTGGGTGGGTGCATTGGGGATGTGTGGGGGGACTGTGACAATGTAGTGTGCAGGGTTGTGTATAGGCAATTTAGTGTGCATGGTTTGGTTCATGGCGTGGACAGATTGAAGGGTGAGGAAGCTAAGGCAGACGCACATTTCTAGGCCGGAGGATATCCCGGGCATCGATCTTGGAATACGTCGACGAGGGGATAGCGAGACTCGAGGACAGCAGACTGAGAACCGTTGCCGTCAATGTAAGAGTGGATGTGATGTGCATTTTGAATTATGTAGAAATGACAGATGCAGGATTGTGCTAGACAGATGCAGCGTCCTCACAGATGCGAATCGCCAGAAGATGCAGGTTTTCACAAGTGAGGAGTCGGGTGATCGTCAGGGTCCCATCTTATAAATAACAGGCAATCCACCTGCCCACCTCAATTTCAGGTCTGCGGAGAAGGCCCACTAATGCAGGTCTCCGACCATACACTGCGAATCACAGCCTGTTTCACCTCCCCAACCCTGGTACCCTGGACGGAGTCACCGACAACTCAACCCTTATTCTATTAATACATATCTCATCTCCTAGCTACACACCAGACACCTCTACTGCCGCCCCGGCCCTAATCGCCATGCCCGCAGAGGCAACCCCTGCAACTTCAGCACCGCCGGCTTGATGAAGAACACGAACGTCACCACCCCGATCACCACGCACAGAATATTCGTCGTGTAGTAGCCGTCATGGATCACGTTGCAGGTGCCACCCCCGTGCACACACCGGTTGCGGTCGGGCTCCAGCGCACAAGAAAAGGCCTGTGTGACCAGCTCGCCCTTGAGAGCCTCGGCGCTCGGTGGCACCGTCGGCGGCACACAGGTCGCCTCCGTGAACATGTCCACCAGCTTGAGGATGAAGTACCGCGGGAATGTACCGCCCAGATTTGACACCCTGCCCGAAAATTAGCTTGGAAACCACCACCAAAGATGAAAAAAAAACTTACGTGGCCAACATCGTCATGTAGGTGCCCCCGATACTCGGGTCGGCGATGCGCGCATGGAAGGCCGATACCGCCACAAACATGACCGTGTTCATGAACGTCGAGAAGATGTGCTCGCCGATCACCGTCAACAGATACCAGAACGGCACGGCGTCGCCCGCCGGGAAGATCATCACCGTCACCTGCGCCAGCACGGCCGCTGCCAGCCGGCCCATAAACGCCCAGCACCACAGGCGCATTGGCGTGTACTCGGTCGACCACTTGCCCGCATAGTAGCCCAGCCCGATCTCGAAAGGAAAGTCGATCAGCACGACCAGCGCCATGTTGTCCTGGCCGAAGCCCTTGTCCAGCAGCTTCAAGCTGGTCACGCCGTCGTTGGCCTGGAAGCCGATCTTGGCGATCAGATGCACCAAGATGATCGTGTGGATGTTCTTGAGCTTCAGCACGCTCCACATGCTCCGATAGACATCGCTGATGCTGTCGCGCTCGTGCGTCCGGTCCTCCTTCTTCATCAGTGCCAGCAGAGTGGTCACCACGATGTAGGCCCACCCCCAGAAGACCAGGTACGAGCCCAGCGACAGCAAACCCCCGGAGGCCGGAGCGCTGCGGAACCACCGGTTGGCAAAGTCTTCGGAGTTGAAGGCCAGGAACACCGTGTACGACAGAAAGTGGCCCGCGGTCAGGCCGACCGTCTGCGCCGTCGACGCGTAGGAGATGTTGGGCGGCGACATGAGCGTGATGGCCCAGCCGTCCACGGCGATGTCCTGCGTGGCGCAGAAGAACACCAGCAGGAACCACCAGTAGGTGAACTTCCACACGCCCGCGCCGCCGTTGGCGCCCGCCGCCTCCATCATCTCGTCGATGCGCCCGCCCAGGTAGATCATGGCCAGCCCCGCGATGACCTGCACCGGTGTGATCCAGCTCTTCCGCCGCCCAAAACGGCGGCTCCAGATTGCATCCACGATCGGACTCCACAGGAGTTTGAGCGAGTAGGGGTAGGAGGCGAGCGAGAAGATGCCGATCTGGCCGTACGAGAGGTAGGGCTTCAGCAGGAAGGGCACCGACCCCGTAGCCAGGCCCATGGGGATTCCCTGGAGGAAGTAGAGCACACACAGCAGCATGAAGTTTCGCCGATCGCTCGCGGGAAGGTTGGCAAACGAGGTGGTCGTCATGGCGGGGGTTTGCGGGGTCATGGGGGGATCGTGGTCGAGGCTGAAGCTGGGACGCGCCATGAGACGGTTGGCCCGGCTCGCAGAAGACTCAATGGAGGTTTCCCTCTTGCGCATCTCGATGGAGGAATCCATGCTCTCGCTCGCGTAGCCGTTCTGGCCCGTCGAGATGGTCAGCGATGGCTTCGAGCGACGTTTGGTGACCGTGCGGCCTTTACGCTTCATCTGGGCACGGCCACGGCGGGAGTCGAGTTGGGAAAGGAGAGGGTCGGCGTGAGTTTCGTGAGAGTCCGTGTCTGACTCGTCGTGGTCGGAGGAGAGAAAAGCGGGATCCCCGGGATGATGATCGGAGGAGGAGTGGTCTGTGTAACGAGGGTCTAGTTTATTATTAAAAGGTCCACGGTTGGCGGTTTTGCATGCTAGATTGCGAAGTTCCACCTCTGAGGAAAGCGGCGGTCGATCCGAACGAAATGGAAAGGAAGGGTCCGCAGGAGGGACATGAAGGGAAGGTCTAAGGGAAGGAGAAGCAGAAGGAGAAGATAAAGGAGGGACTGGAACTGGGTCGCCGGCGTTGGAATGATGCATCCATTCGACGTAGTGGAGCTGGGAAGGAGAGAGAAGCGTGCGGTGCGGTGCAAGTCCCCGATTTCTTGGAGGCAAAGGCAAAGGCAAGCTGGCCTCAGTGGGAATTCCCCTTGTTTGGGCTTGGCTGGGTTTGAAGTGGATTGGGCGGGCCGATGATTGGGTGGGGAGGGGAGAGACTTTTGCTTGACGAAGGATTCACGTCAAAATTGATTGATTGATGCTGAGTGATCGGCTCTAGTGATGCAGATGCAGATAACAAGCTATTGGGGGGGGCGGAGGATGACTAGTGGGAGTGCCAACAAGATAATATATCAGTTTCTTTGGTGTAGTCCACGTACAACGGTCTACATACGTATCTGGCCACGTCTCCCGCAGAACAATCAACGTTTATTAAACCCTTCTTTGGGTTATTTATTGAATATTCCATCGAAATTCAAGCCCGCGGCTGGTCCAGCGACCCAATCCGGTGGATCTGCCGATAACAAATCTTCACGTGACATTTTACTCCAGTTCAGTTCCTGTCAACAAACACTGCATACACCCATCACTAACTGCATCATCATCACCACCACCACCTATCCTCAAACAACAACCCCGAACAAAACCCCCCTTCACCAAAATGTCCACCCCCTCTCTAAACACAGAAGAAGAAACCGAATCCCTCGATTCCGAAATCTCCACCATCCGCGCCGAACGTCCGTCCCCCTCCCCTTCCCTTCCATAAGAACCCCCCACTAATACTGCCTTCACCGACCAACAGTGCAGGCTCTCCACCACCGCCGCCGCATCCTAACAAACAGCCTCCTCACCTCGCGCCCCCTCCAACGCCTCGCCAAATCCCAATCCCAATCCCCATCCCAAACAACAGCAACCGCCACAAGATCCTCTCAAAAATGGACCGACCTCTCCCCGCTCCTCCACACCTCCGCCCTCCATGCCGACCTCAACCACCACCGCATCGCCTTCTCCACGACCGCCTTCCCCTTCACCGATCCCTCGCCCGTCCCTTCGGAGGCCAAGAGTCTGATTGGGCTGCGGATTGACATCTGCGCCCGGGACGGGTCGTACGTCAAGCCGTATTATATTCTGTTGCGGAAGGGGGTGTTGCACCAGTCCACGGAAAGCGATGCGGAGGAGAGGACGGGTAAGGGTGGGAGGGGGGAGAGGGTGGTGTACGTGCATCGGCATACGGTTCCCCCGGTGGTGGATCTGGGGGCGTTGGAGCGGATTTATTTGCCGCGAGCTAAGGGGGATGCAGTCCTGGGAGAAGAGGGGGAGGGGGGAGGTGGGGAGCAGCTCAAGCCGTGGAAGCGCAGCCCCAAGAAGCAGAATCTCAAGGGGTTTCTGCGCGAGGTGCGGCGGCAGCTGGTCGTGTGGCATGTCCGTTGTGATGGGGTCCGGTATCTGCGGGAGCGGTTGGGAGTCGTCAAACGGGGCGAGGGCCAAGACGCGGACGAGGAGAACGGGGTCTGGGAGAGGGACGTGCTGGCGGAAGAACCGAATCAAGAATCCAAGATCGCGAAGAATGATCTGGGGATCGTCGCGTTGGGGGCCACCGCGTTGGAGGCGGTCTATGTGCGCGTCGAGTGGGACGACGGCCGGGTCGGACGGTTCAAGATCTCCAATGCGGGGGTGGTGGAGCGGGCGGTCGTGATGGGGGACACGGGGAGGGATAAGTTGACGGAGGCGGTCATGACGGGGGGCAATGGGAGGTTGGAGACGTTGCTCGATCGGTTGAGGAAACACGCGTCTGAGTCGAGGGAGCTTGCCGCTGCCTCACTTGAGGATAGTGCGTCGCAGACGGCGTCGGAGGCGTGACGCTGATCGCTTCTTCTTCGTCTTTTGCTTTTTTTTCTTTTAAAATGTGGTGCCTCTTAGCGAGTCCTTTTCTTATACCTACACACGTTCAGGCTTTATCGTATCTAGATCAATTGGTATCTATTATTCTGTCACAAACCAAGCAAACAAGTGCCTGTGAATCTATCAGGCTGAAAAGGAGCCAGGGATACCCAAAATCAGCGCTATGCACATGAGGGCAAGGTATATCCGCTATGATGTATGTATGAAGCCGGCACCAAGTCGACTCAGCAAGAACAACATGTCAAAAAGGGGGGAATAGTAATTACAAGATATAGGGTCGGCATCCAAGGCCGAATATGACACATTAGGGGGACTGCATATATGCATGAGGAGATCCGAGAATCGGGGGAAATAAAGAAAAGGGTATCACGTAGACATCACATCATAATCAAAGCACCTGTCCCCTTCTCTTCGTCCGGGTGCACCTCCTCCTCAAGCGCTGGCAGCTCCGGTCTGCTCGGCCACACAGATGGCCGAATCGCGCGTCTCATAGTTCGGGTCGCCGAAGGACAAGGGGGGCAAGGGTCCATACACCTTCCCGTGTTGCGTCCCTAGTTTGGTTCGCAGAATGGCCTCTTCTAGGTTCCATCGGTGTATCAACCGGGCCTTCTTTGCATCGAACACCTGGACGACAGCCATCTCTTCCTGTTGATGGGCTTGTTGCATTTGCGCAAACTCTATAGCGTGTTTGTCGATCAGCTCGTCAAGTTCTCTTTCCATCCGGGCAATGGCCTCCTGCAATCGCAGCTCCTGTCGGTCGCGGAGCACTTTGATCTTGGCCTCGTGTAACTGATCCATCGAATTGTGGTCGTGGTACTCCTGCGCTAGCTGGGCCTTGTGTTGCGCGGTGAACTTGCGGGCGGGGGTGGTCTCCGGCCCTGACCCTGCCCCTCCTGGCGACGGGGGAGGGCTGGAATTATTGAAATACCCCTCCATGTGTTTGATGCGGGTCCGCGAATTCATCTTCGCCCGTTCGAACTCCCGCATCTGGTCCATCTCGATCGTCAGCTGACGTTCTTCCATCCGAGAAGCGTCGTTGATGTTCTTCACAGATGTTAGCATGACGAGTTTCTTTAGGTGGTACGAGGGCATACCTTTTCGCGTTTCTGCGCCTCAAGATCCTTGTTCGCCGCAAGTCGTTCGGCAACAATGGACTGCTGAGTTTGGCGAAGACGCATCGTGAAAGCATCCTGGAAGAGATTGTGTCGATTCAGCTCCATCACTTGACGCTCCCGCATGAGACGCAGCTGCTCGTCGTTCTGACTCCGCTGTAGGGACTCATGATCGAACGCGGGTATCTCAAGCCGCAGCACTCCGCTCCCGTCGCCGGATGATCGGGCTTCCTGCGACTCCGGCAGCTTGGATTCCACTAGAACCTGCTCGATCCCCTTACTCCCCTTGGCGATAGTGATTTGCGCCGCTGGAGGCAGGAGCACGGCCGACGGCGACCGCTTCTTGCGAAAATGGATCTTCTCCATCGCCGACTTCAGCGTTGATTTCCGTCTTTCCTTCTTGTCGCTCGGGATCACGCTGATCATCGAATGGCGGTTGCTCGGCGGCGCCCCCGCGGCCAAATTCGTATCTATCCCCGGGATCAGTCTCCCCTCACATGAGCTATAAGAGGTCGGTCGGGTGGACAGTGAGGCGATCGAGCGAGCACTACCATTGTGGATGGGTTCGGAGGAGACAGTGAATTCGGAGAGAGACGAACCGAGGAGATCGATTGCGGTGGTCTGGTGGGATGGTGTGATATCGTATGCGGAGTGGCGATCGGTGGAGGATCTGGTGGACGAGATGATAGGTGAGGACGAGGAGAGATCCACCATCCCCGAAGCGATGGACGCGGTCAACGATGCGACCAGCTCGACCTCTGGGATATTCAGACCCAGCTGGCGGGCCTCCTCGATCAGTTTTTGCTCCTGCGCCGTTTCGGCTTCCTCAGAAGGCAGTTGGAGAACCTTTCGGCGGTAGTGAGACTCTTCGATCTCTGCGTAATTAGGGTGCTCCATGATGCAATTGCAGACGAGCTCTGTTCACAGTCACCCATGGAGCTTGTATGTGTGTGTGTGTGTGTGTGTATGTATGTGCGGGAGAAGTGAAGCTGCGGAGAGGCACGAAAACAGGTGAAGGAAGGGAAGTGGTGGTGAGGGGTAGAAAAATGATATATAGAAAAATTAAACAATGACGATAAGAGACAATAAGGGGGACGGACGGAAGTTTCAGGGACACGAGTCGCCAGACGCTAAGACACTCGTCCACAGTACTAGAAGCACGGTGGACGAGATGGAGGCGCCCAAGAGCAGCATCCGACTTGCGGGGAGGGGCAAAATAAGTTTCCAAGCAAGACACTGGGTGGGAAAGAGAGGGAGAGAGGGAGACGAAGAGACTTCTAAGGCACGCGCCGCTGGCAGAATAGGAGAACAACAAGAAAGACCGTGGATTGAATGAGGAGACTATCACCTCGAAGTGGGCTAATGAGAGAGCAGATTACTCCTGCTGCTGCGGGCCAACTGTGCGAGCACCACCACCAGGGACTGGGAAGCCAGGACAAGCAAGCGACTGGAACCTGATTTGGGCCTCAAGTATCCGTTGGAGGTGGTAGACTGCCCTGGAGTAGACTAACTGCCAACTTAGCACTGAGTAAGTCAGTTCTTTTGTTTCGGTCGTTCATGGGTTCCATATTATTCATTCATTATTGTTAGTTACTGAGTATGATTGCTGATTGCGACCCACGACCCGCCTGACCCAATGATTCCTGATTCCTCCGGTCCATCCATAGGTCAGTCAATCGGTAGTGGGTAAATTGGTCGTGATCAGACCGTGCGTCCCTGCGTGCATCTAAAGTCAAAGAAAAGGAGAAAAAAGGAAAAGAAAATTATGATCAATCTTTGAAGCATGATCGATGATCATCTGCAGTGATGCAGTCAGTGATAGTGCTAGGAAGGAAGGAAGGGAAGTAATTCCGGGGAAAGGAGAAGCCGTCAGAATGCTGTCACCGCAAGTCGGGAAATCGGGAATTGACTGACTGAACTTTACTCTCTACTAGAGGGACTCAGCTGCCCGTGCCCTGGCTGCCAGGCTGAATGAGGATTGTTGTTTGACGCGGATTGAAGGCACACCCGGCCCATGGTCGGAAGTAACAGCCGCCCGAATTGGGCCACAGAATAGGGTATAGGGCAGGTCAGGGCAGGTCAGGGCAGGCCAGGGCAGGCCAGGGCCAGCTGCAGATGTCTCGGCGCTACCCAGAACCGTGGTTTCAAACCCATGGCCGATGGAGTCCACCGTCAGGCACCCGCCGCTTCAGATTCCCCTCTTCTGCACACCACCTGACCATCCAGGTTCCACTGCTCCAGATCTCTTAATCTCGCTGTCATGGACATTGGGGAACACTATCCAGGACAGTACTAGACTCTAGCAGGGGGAGAAAAATAGTGTCATGATCGTCCCAGGTTAACGGCTTCTAGAGAGCTTCTTGAGCTCCGCTTAGTGTTTTTCTAGGCAGGAGGGGATGGCACGATGTCTTAGTCTGGCTCAACCATCATTCCAGGAGTTCACCGCATCAGTTGTTCCCGCATTCTGACCTGCATGACCGGGTTATCACACCATTAATAATATTGGGTTATGAGATTACTTTTGTTTTTCCAGAATTTATCTCAAACAAATTGCTACGCGGACTGTGATTCTCCGATATAGCTAGCTACTCTCTCTCCCTCCTTTCCCTAACGCGATAGCATCGCCCCAGCCATTGCGTATGTCTTCTCTCTAGCATCCCACTGGACGGAGCCCGGCAACGCCCGCTTATCAAAGCCGTGCGCGCAAGCTTGCATACGTACTTGCACCACCTCGCGCTCTTTGCCGGGCTCCTTGGCGATTTTCTGGGCGAGGGTCTCCGCCTCAACCGCCAGGCTATCACACGCCGCCGTCACGATCATCACGCGGTCAGGGAAGCGGTCCGGGCTCGCATAGAGCGGTGAGAACCGGGGATCCCTGGTATCAAACGCCCCGTGCGTGTAACATGCGTCGAAGAACTTCGACATGAAGAGCGGAATCGCTTTCCCGGACGTATCGGGCGGCACCTTCAGGCTGGGGTCTGTATGGATGTCCACGACCGGGTAGACCGCGATCACGGAGTGGAAGGTCTCCGGGGGGAAGAGATTCGCCGACGCCGCCAGCGCGAAGTTCCCGCCGGCACTGAACCCGGAAAGGGAGACGCGGCTGAGGTCGAATCTGTCCGGTTGGCTGAGCACCCACCGCACCACATCCTCCGCGTCATTCAGCGCCGCGGGGAAGGGGTGCTCGGGCGCGAGGCGGTACTGGACATCGAGAACGGTCCGGTCGGTCTCTCGACTCATCTGCCGACAGAAGGGGTCGTCCGCGCCGTGGAGCGGGAAGATGAAGCCGCTGCCATGGAAGTTCACCAGCACCGGTGTAGGTTTGGAGGTGGGAGACGATGTGTTGCGATACAGGTGGACTTTGATCGTTCGCCCGGCGTCGCGCGACTTTATTTGCAGGACTTCATCTGGGCTGGCGTTGGGGATTTTGCGGGCAAAGTATCGCCTGAAGAAGACGGCGAGGAGCTTGTAGTAGAGGTAGGTGAGGAAGAACATGGTCCACGGTGTGCGTGTCGACAGGGTCACGGCGTCCCACCGGCAAATAGGCAAGGCTTGATGATCCAAGCGATGGCTTATCTGCCAAGAGGGTGTCAGAACTTAGGTTCCAGCTGCATCGACAGGCACCAATGATACATTAAATAGGCGTGTTACGTAGTCGGTAGTTGGTGGTCGGTCTGTGCCGCAGAGCGGACGCTCCACTCGGACCGATGACGCCATCATTTTCTACCGAGGCCGATACTAGAGTAAAACAAACCACTGCAGGATAAATGCAATTGTTTCTTTGCTAGGAGTACGAGTAGACGACATTCATCAGAGGCACGAGTTGAAACTGCCTTGCTAACAATACAGTGAAAGAGGTGGATATACTATAATACTTGGAGAAATAACTGAGATATACTTTAGGCACACAAAGCATTAGACCTTCGCTATATTACCCGGCCCCTTTGTACCCCCCTTCTACTGCAAGAAGACAGCTACTCTTGTCCTCCCGAGTTTTCGAGGTCGATTGAACTCAACTCATTTCTAGCTTGTTTTGTTGTCAAGTCAGCTAGGTGCCTCATTTAGAAATGAATTCTGAAGTGTGCTTGTCTGCATCTCCGAAACTCCATGATCCCCTCTGATGGTTCAAAGCTTGTCAACCTGCGATAAATTCAATTATTAGATGCGTAAGTAGAGCTTTGAACCTCTGCTCTTTGAGACTCAGCTATCTTCGCTTGCAGCTCTTTTGCTCAATGCTCCTTTACTTATCTATTCCATCAAGGCTCTGCCAATTGATCCCTCAAATGGCCCCACCGGTCAAGAAGTGTTATCTTATCGCCTCCCCTCGCCGTTCATATCTGATCAAGGTAAGGATTTACAGTAATCGGTAGACATGCTATCCGATGCATTTCTAGCTACAAGCAGAATCTATACAGTATTGTCTTAGCATTCCTACCAATGAGAGAAGTAACATGGCTACAGAGTGAATGACATGACTCATCTGCCGCAAGCCTTCTGTGCCCCGTCAAACAGGCAGAAACCCGCAGGCTGACGGCAACCTGGAACTAAGCAACCATCCTCGTAGATTTGCGGGGTTATTTAGACCCCGTCTGGAAGCACCCAACATCCTTCTTCTTTACGCACTTCTCATAACCTCACCAACACCAAACTCCAAGCAGCCAAATCACTAGCTGCATATATCCCCCAGAACATAACACGACAGAAAAATGAACAGCCTGCCCCCCGCGCAACGACGACCGCGCCGCCGTCGCGGCAACCCCCGCTGCGGCCCCATGCCCCCGCGCCGCCTCTCGCCCTCCTCCTACCAGATCCCGCAAGACCTGAGTCCCTCCCTCCCAGCCATCCAGCAAACCGCCTGCCCACTATTCACGCACATCCCCGCCGAAATCCGCAACAGGATTTACTACTACACCCTCGAGTCGTCCTCCTCCACCGACACCACTTCAGAAACTGCATCATCCACCTACGCCCAGCAAGCCCTCTACTACCGCCCGGGCTTCAAGGCCCCGAAACGCATCTCGACCGCCCTCCTGCAAACCTGCCAGCAGATCTATGGCGAGGCCTCGCTCCTCCCGCCGGCCATCAACCGGCACACCTTCTGGTGCCACCGCCCGCCGCCGCACGTCCGCCACGCCGCCTCCCCGGCCGACTACTTCTCGCGCATGACGCCCAAGCAGCGCGGCGCCGTGCAGGAGCTGCACTTCTTCACCCAGCAGTACTTCCTCGAGGACTCGTGGGCGCAGGTCTGGGCGTCCGTCCGGGAGAATGAGGCCTGGCAGGCGCAGATGCGCAAGGGGAAGCGGAAGCTCGAGGAGGCAAACGCAGACACTGGCGAGGGCGGCGGGAATGACAACCACCCTGGCGATCGCAATCAGGAGAACGGGGTGGAAGGCCGGGGGAGCAAACGACGCGCCGGTGGAGCAGCACCACCACCACCGCCAGGGCTACAACCCGACGAGACCTCGGATGTCGGGGTCCTGGCCCCGAAGCGCATGACCATCACGCTCAGGCATACGGATTGGTGGTTCTGGGAGTATAATGAGCCGTTGGGGATCGATCCGTTCCGGCCGGGGAGGACGAAGGCGGAGGAGATGGAGATGGGTGTTCGTGGGCAGCAGCAGCGGCGGCGGCCGTTGACAGCGTGGGAGGAGGGCAGGGTTTGGGGGAATCAGTTCAAGCTGTTGCCCAGTCTGGAGGAGTTGGTGATTGAGTTTGAGACGGTAATGCGGAAGAGGGACCAATTGGATGCGATTGTGCAGATGGCGCGTGATTGGAGGTTTCCGTTGGTGGTTGACGAGGAAGAAAACGGGGAGAAAGTGTTTCTGGTCGCGGAGGAAGGGTCGAGGCGGGCGTATACGTGGATCGGAGCCAAGGAGGAGATCCTGCGAGATGTGGTCATGGGGGCTGCGGGCGGGGGCGGGAACGGGCAACAAGGAGGTGATGCTGGTGATGCTGCTGCGGTCAAGCCGCCGCCGAGGCTGGTGCCGTTTGATGCGGATCAGGAGTTCAGGACCGCTACTGCTGCTGCTGCTGCTGCTGCTGCTGCGAGCCAGCCGCAAAAAGGCGAGGGGGATGCTACGGCTGAGCAGAGTGAGCCGAAGATCAATGGGGAGTTTGATCCGGCGACGGAGGAGAAGTTCTACGTCGTCTTTCTGACGTGGCGGAGGCAGCGGGTCAATTGACCTTGTGGTTTGCGAGATCTGATTTGAACATGAGACTTGATCGAGCGACTTTTATCTGGCGGTCTATGCCCTTCGGTCACGATATCACTTGAATTTCTTATGGTGTTAATAATGTGTACTATATTAATGATCCAAGCACATATTCAGATTCAACAGCGGGTGCAGCTCATCTATCATCGAGATTATCTTTCTTTCAAACATTACTTAGGCATCTTAATAACATGTAGCGATACATAACTCCATAACACATGCACAGCCGTAGGTGTCAGGGACCCAGCCCTGCCTGGGTCATCATGTAACCGGAAGGTCAGATGTTCATGCTCCCCCGCGCCTTCGCTTGACATAGTCCAGCAGGTCCAACTGGCAGGGGACCTTCCCTCTCCTTTCCTCCACTTCCAGTCAACAACCGGCATACAACAAAAAAAAGCCACATCACAAAACCTTTTTTATTACTACCTCAATTCGACCGCCTCAAAGGAAGCAGACGTAGACCTCACCGGTCAAACTTCTTCAGCTCCAAATACCGCAGCGGCGGGTAGACAAGCATGGCCCACGAGCAACCGACCCAAATGCCCAGATCGGCGCCGTCGGCGCCCACCATCTTGGCGATGGGGCCGACATACCAGATCTGGTCCATGCAGACGATGGCGCCGGCCCAGCCGATGAGGAAGGCGGCCAGCGCCGCGAGGCCGAGGGGCAGCTTGGCGCGGTCGGCCCAGGCGTCCCAGTCGAAGCCGCGGGTACGGCGGAAGATCAAATGCTCCTCGAGCGCGATGGTCAGGTAGATGGTGACCCAGTAGCCCATGAGGGCGAGGAAGTTCTCGAAGATGTCGTAGAGGTGGTTGCGGCCGCCGAGGGCGCACGCGGTGTAGATGATCGTGCTGACGCAGGCGAGGGTCCAGCGCGGCAGCCGCGCCAGGTGCCGCCCCATGATCTGGAAGCCCAGCGTGGCCGAGTACGTGCCGGGGATGTTGTTGGAGATCAGGCCCAGCGCGATGATCACGCCCAGGAACTTGCCGAACCCGCCGAGCCCGTCGTAGCCGGCCAGGATCAGTGCCCCGGAGGAGGTGTCGTAGGCCTCGGCCCACGCCGGGTTTGTTAGGGTGCCCGAGGCTAGGCCCACGCCCATCAGGTTCGCGAAGGTTAGGGACAGGCCCAGGCCGAAGAGAACGGACATGAAGGTCTTCCATTTGGAGGTGGTCGGCGGGAAGTAGACGAAGAAGTCGGCGCCTGCGGGAGCCCACGCGACGGAGCTCGAGAGGCACAGTGAGAAGAAGGTCAGGCGGTCCGCGCTCAGGGTCGCCGTGTTGCCGCTGGACACGATGGAGGTGTCGAATTTGGGGCCGGCGCAGCCGACGAGCACGAACATGGCAACAAGTTGTGGCGCCCAGGCCCATCTGGGATGGTAAGTATATTTCCGGGAAATTGGGGCAATGAGGAACATAGGATGGATGGGCTTACCTTTCATAAGCGTGGAATGGCTTCATACCGAATACGACGACCAGCCAGGTGATGATGGCGACAATGATGATACCAACCACAACAGTCATCTTCCCGTCGGCCACCGCAGCCAACTTTTATGATTTTAGCAATCGCTCTAGGATGCTGCCAGTAGAAGGGGCCAAACTCACGATCTGACCACCAACCAAACAGTCGATCATTCCGTAACCAAGCATAATAATGATGTTCAACAGACAGGCGATCTTGCTGGGATAATAGCCCATAAAATATCTCGCAACGACCTAGAACGCCACCTGTCAGCGTTTTCATCGATATGCTATAGGTCATCATCACTCACCATCGTCCGATTGCCACTTAGCGGTCCAAAGGTTGCCATGTATGCCACCCCAGCAGCTCCCAAGAAAGAGCCAAAGGTGGCACAGAGGGCAGAGTCCACAAAGCTCAGCGAATATCCTAACGGGCCGTACATACCGACGGCGACGTTATTGGCCGTGATACTGGTCGAGAACCACAGAACGCCCATTTTGAGATAGTCGGCTGTGGTCACGGAACTATGCCGTTCCGTTTCAGGCACTCTCTCGATACCTCGCTTCTCAAGTAGCTTGTGAGTGAACCTCGAAAATATATTGGCCTCTCCTGAGTCGGAGGAGGCAGAGAGCGAAGCTCTCATGGCCTTCTCTTCGTCCTGCATGGAAGCGGCCATGCTGAGTTCAGACTGCTTGGGCTGGAGAAATTAGCAGAAGCCGTGAGTTGTTCCTCTCGAGCAGGGAGGTAGCGGCGAATTCCGAGAGAGCAACAGCAGTAGATAAGGAGATTAGGTCGAGAGTTGAGCTGGCCCAGCCTGCATGTCGGGAGAAGGAACAAAAGAAGAAAAAAAGGTACGGAGTAGTTGGGAGGGATATGATACCCTGCTTATAGAGCTAATGAGTTATCAGCCAATCCTTTAATCAATGTAGCGACGGACATAGTCTTCCTTTTTCATTGCCAAGCCGGTTAAGTTCAAGATTGTCAGAACTCACTTATTATCTTGGCAGTCTGAATTTTTTTTTTTAATGCGTTTTTTTTTCTTTTCCGCCCAGAACTTTTGTCGGCCGGGAGTCCGGGACAAGCCGCCACTCAATGCTTAGGTGGGCTTAGCAATGCTTAGCGAATTTGTCTAAGAACCAACTTAACTCCGGCCTCCCGTTGCTGACCCATGGATGCTGCGTGCCATCTGCCATCTGCTCCCTGCAGACATCGACGCCTCCGTGGTTTAACCTTCTTTGCTAGCCCTGTCAGGCTGCCCGGTCTTCTAGCTTATTCCCGTTCCAGAGATGTTCATAGCACGGGTGCGACGTGAGCAGGGGTGCAATTGTTCTTTTCTTCTGCTCTGCTGCAGGTGCAGTTTAGTTCAGACGCGAAGAGGGACGCTAAGACCAAGACGGGCCATGAGGCCGGTAGGTACTCGAAGTAGTCTGCAGTGGTGCCGCCGATGCCGTTCCGATATGAGCTGCTGCCAGATTTGTTGAGATTAAAACTAACTCAAGTCGCATTTATGGCGTGAGGGTAGAGAAACCTTGAAGACTACTAGGCTATTCAGGTCTTCAACAGTACACTATTGATTGGTCAGCCTGGTTGAAACCACCACAGTCCGATCTAACGCCAGCACGTTCGGAGCAGCTCCCTATCAAGTACTTGTCCTCTTGGTGGAATGACAGAATTGTACAGTACTGTACTGTATGTACAATACCTCAGCATGTATGGAGCCAGCACGTGCCCCGCTTGACCGGGAGGTTTACCCGCCCTTCCGTCTGCTCCAGTCGCTCTCTGTCCTCTCGTTCCCCTCTACCTCTCCTTGGCTATCATTGGCCTTTCATTCCAGTCCGTTCATTGCCACGGTCCAAAGCCATCCCCACGTTGGTAGACTAGTCACATGCTAAGAATCATACTCCATCGCACCTTTCCCCATTGCATTAGTCGAAGCTGGCTCTAGACCGACAACCCGCATCGATACCCGGACCAAATTGAGAGACAGGAGGCCCCCCACCTATCATCGGCATCGCAGATACCATGCTATAGCAGTACTCCGGAATACACGGTGGCAGAACCCAGGCTAAAGCTATTTTGAATCGACTACAGTCCTAGTCGGCCACTTGCGGGGCCTTGAAGGGAAGAACTACGAACTGCGACTTGCCACAAAACTTCCAATCAGCTTCTAGCCTTTCGAAAGTTTAGCCGGCTACCTGCGATCTTATGATTGCCGTTCCACGTTGTGGTGGAGGAGGAACACGCAGCTACTCAATTTACGTCCGAATGAATCCCACTCAAGGTCGCCCGTTCTCCCACTTCTCTCATCATGACTCGTGGACTTCGGCGGAGAACAATGGACAGGCCACTACGTATTGCAGCCCACATTCAATGAGCCTATCAAGACATGCGGCCCTTAACGAAGGAATTGCAGTGGGTATGGACCAGCACCGTGGTGCTTCTGGGAAATAATGATCGGATCGTCACGATTCATCTCCCTGAGTCCTGACTTAGCCAGCAGCCTGGTGGATCTTGGGTCTGGGTACGGAGAACCCCGACCTCTTTAGTAACACGATGATGGATGATCAGGCGACCCTACCTAGGCTATGGGTTCTGATGCATTGAACAGCTGGCATGCTGCATAAGTTGTGCGTGTCAGCATACATGTCATTGTTCGTCAGTCTCCTCCACCAGCGTGCCTGGCGTGCGAATTCCAAATACGGTCCCGCCAGGTCTGTTGCTAATTCAGGGGGCACCTGCGCTCAAGGCTGGCAACGACAGCCCACCGTGTCAGAGATTGATGTCCAGCAAAATTAGATCCAGTCGGCAGTTGGCCAGGGAGGGCTACCTACACGCTCATCGACGCTGATTCGCCACCACTCCGGCCGTACATGCCATGCGACTTGCCAGAAGAGCGGATGAAGGATGTACTAAATAGATTGGAATCCTGCAGCGGCCAGCCAATTCTTCAGTCTGATGTGGGTCGAACTTGTGTAAGCACCTTATACCCCTCTAAACTTGTTGCACCTCTGTCTCCCTTTTCATAAGAAGTTACTGCCTAGCATTTCTCCAATACTGAGTACCTTACTATGCTATCCTCATAAAACCCTCGTTGTAATAATGGCCAGTGATGGCGGTGGCTCTGCGCATGATCTGGTGGTCACCACCTGGGTAATGTACAGCATCGCAATGCTGTTGTTTGTCGTGCGATTGTATGTACCAGATGCTGACTCGGTATTTCTGGTTGTTGATTGCTAACTTGTCTTACAGATATGGGCGATGGCTCAGAATGCGCTGGGTGTTTCAGGTCGAGGATTACCTGATGATTGCGGCGGTGGTAAGTTTGCTTGCAGACTAACGGGCTTGACCTTATGGCCCGACGCTAAGTCATTGTTCCGACTAGGCTTTCTATACAGCATTTGCCGTCACCAACATCAAGATTGCGGAGGGAGGAGGAAGCAATCTATACAAGCCTGGAGAATATGAAACATTCACCGCCGCCGAGATCGCGGCGAGGGTCAAAGGATCCAAGATCGAGTTTGCTTCGGAAAATGTATGGTACAGTCTTTCCACCATGGCGCATCTGCGAAATGAGACCTAACGCAGCCATGTTCCAGTGCCAGCTCTGCACGATTTACTTACTGAAGGCTTGTATGCTGATGGTCTACTTCCGACTGACGTAAGTTAGCCATCCATCGACTTCGAGCCAGAGTGTGTGCCTGACGGGAATAACCACAGAAAAAATCTATGGCAAAATCGTGTGGTGACGATTTGTGCTATATATACGCTGTGCGGATGGATCAGTTCAGAGCTGGTACTATTCCTCGAGTGCAGGCCCTACTTGTCCGGCTACTGGACCCTTCCTCCCCCGAACGAAATCTGCTCGACTTATCGTATCTACGAGGCTGTGCAAGCGGCTATGAACATTAGTTCTGATGTTGCAATTCTCTGTGTCATGCTCCCGATGTTTGCCCGCGCGCAGATGGCGTGGAAGACCAAGCTGCCGGTCATCGTTGTCTTCTCAATGGGCATCGTTGTGGTACGTCCGACTTGCATCTTACATCGCCCTACAAACTTTTGACTGATTTTCTGACTTGTACCCAGCTTGCTTGTGCTATCACTTCGAAATATTTCACCTTTCGGGATATTTACGACACCAGCTATCAGTTCTGGTACCTGCGAGAGGCCTCCATCGGCATGTACGTCACGAACCTGCCTTTTGTGTGGTCTCTGGCGCGATCCACAATCTCCTTCCTCAAATCGAGCAATTATGTCGACCAAGGCAATTACAACGACCCGAGATATGGGACAAATGCTCACACCAACGAAACCCGCTCCAGGCCGGGCAACGGCACGCGTTCCACTCGACATTTTCCGAGCATTTACGAGTCCCGTGCGGTCCGCACGGAGATACTATCACCGTCGGAGAGCGAGGAGAACATTATTGAGATGGGTGGGATGGGCAGAAGCGTGATCAAATCGGCGGGGTCATCGCAGGAGAGTGGAGATCGTGGATGGTCCCAGTCGGACGGCCATGATGACCAGTTCATTCGGAAAACTACGGAGATAGTCATTCAGAAAGGTTGATCAGCTGGCTATGCTGGAGAGCATGCTTAGGATGTACCGAGCGAGGCAAGCGAATGCGTGGGGGAAACAGCTCGGCAATGATCGGGGCAACCGTGGCATGGGTATCCAGCACAATGTCGAGACTCTCGCACAGCTAACGGGGTCTCATTCAGCTGCCCATCTCCGCTACAATTCCCACCTTGACCGGTAGAACAGACTATCGCTTCGGCCAAATCCACACAGTGTTAATCTATTTCTCCGATCATCCATGCTGCCTCGTCCCACGCCCAGTTACTACTCATGTGCACGAGGAGATGGAATAGGATGCGTCAGCAGTCCTTATGGAGTCGATTCAGTGATCAGCGGTGATTTTATCCTGGAATGTCAAAATGTTATTAATACTATTTGAAGTCCCACGTCCACAGTGTAAGGCGAAAGAGGGAGTACGTCAGCCCGCGAGAGGCTAGCTTGCACTTGGTGGGCTAGCCGAGATCGAGATTTTCCGATCTCGCGCTCCGCGATTACGACGTTGATCTTGGCACAGATGGAACGATGCTGACTCCTTCTATGACTTTATTGTCTATCATTAAACAGAATCTCTTTATTTAATACCTCACGACAATGGCAATGCATAATCAACTCAAGCTCTTCATAGGCTGCTTCTGCTCCAGGCCATAGACCGGGTCGCACACACCACATCCGAGATCCCCCCTCAGGTGGAGCAAACCATACTTTTGCATGTGGGCTAGTGAGCTTATTCTGTCCTGCACGACGCTTTCTGCCATGTGCTTAGGGTTTCTGTTAGGTAGTTAGCAGCCACTCTTCTATGAGTAGTACAAGCTGCAATATCTCCGCTGGAGAACTTATTCCAAGGCTTTTATCACTACAAATGGACGCATGGCGTGCACTGCATCTCGACCTGCTATAAGAAGTATCTCGTCTCTGGATTTTGATGGGAATTCTCCAAATGCCCACTGCCCACTTGACTTGTGGATCTAGGAGATTCCCACTTATCTGACGCTAGCAGGTTTCAGATGTCTATAATTGCTGGGGCCTTTGCTAATCTTGCGAGGGGGAGATCGAAATACTCATAGCTTACATAGTTGGGTTACTAGATATATTGGTGATATGCTCTGAGAAAGGTTGCTTTACTGAGTTGATGGTCAGAAGCTTTCATTGTGGATGAGACATCATTTCTCAGATAAACTTGATTTTTTTTTATGTATTTAGATCGGTTGGGGTGGAAGATATATAAGCTGGTGTTTACTTAGGAAAGCCTCTCCAATTACACATACAGTAGGATTGATGTAACCCAGTTGCTTATAGACTATGCCTTTGCCAAGATAAGGTGCGAAAGCAATTGTCTCTTTTCAATCTGTATATCCTTTAGGATTGAGGTTTACATCTTGATTGTTCACCTTTCATTTCTCTGTGCCTGTGAAGAATGCTGCTACGCAGAGAGTAATTCAATGTCATACAAAATCAGCATCAAATTCCACCGAATGCTGGGGCATATTTCTTAGTCACTAGAACTGTTAATTGAATCGAATATGTAGAGGTGTCCAGCTAGATGCCAGGCTCCCTGGCTGCCTCTACAGGTGCACCGCCACGTGTGTGGCAGCCGAGCACGGCCACGATATGATCCAGCCCAACAACATCCCGTGTGGCGCTCATCCGTCACTCCACCGCTTTCATCACCATCATCAAGAGGCTTCCTATCTTTCACATGCTCAACGGTAGTGGGTCAAGGTTGCTGTTGCCATATTACGCTTTATTATCAGCTATCGCTCTGACTATTCAAGCTGAATTTAGGAAGAACATAACACAGAGTGGTAGCTACAATGACCCCTTTGAATCATTCCGGGGACACCAAGTTCACCGTCTTTATCCGCCTGCCATGCCCCCGGGGGGATTTTGTGGATCCTCCCCCGGTACTTATTTAGCCTATTTCATCGGAGATAGAGCCAGCGCTGACTTCAGTAGATGGAATGGAATGCAGCTAAGGATCAGGCTCTCTGGGACATTCTTTCGCGGCCCTCGAAAGGCGATGATCTAGATTGTGAGTCCTTCATGGAACGTCCACCCCATACTAGGTACCGTACAATAACGGCTAACGGGCCCAGGGAAAGCATTGTACCGGACACAAAATACCCCTCAGTTTCACAGACGTGCTGACTCTTGTCTGGTCACAGAGCAGACCACTTCGAAGTCACACTTCAGTTCTTACTCCAGCAGGCAGCATGGCTGTACGACCGTCAGCTATCGCAAGTGCGCGCGCAAATGCGCAAAGTGCCGACCACGCAGTCGACATCTACATCGCCCGCTCCCGGCTCGATATCCGGCAGTGCTGCTCTCGGTCAAGTTAAAGCTGCCGCAAGCAATGGTATGGATTTCTCTGATCCGATTTGGTTTCGTATGCTGACTGCTCAAAGCTCCGAGAGCTCCAAGTTGCCTGGCGCAACAGAAGGAGTCCCTGCCGCAACGAGGTAAGTTGCATAGCTCAAAGATTGTCCATATTGAACTTGTCACTGTACGCCTGGTGCTGAGGACAAGAAGCCCCGATCCCCAGACGCACGAGCTCGACGACAACCATCAATCAACTAAAGCCCGCCCGAGAGCCATTGCGCGACGAACCACCTACTTCCGAGCCAAAAGAGCTAGGCCGCGAGGCCCATGCTTCACGGCCACCGGCCAGCCGACGAGATCCCCCGATTCCAAAGTCGCCAACTCTCGAGGAGGAAGATTTGACGTCCAGCTCGTCCGAGTCCGCGTCCGAGGAGGACGAGCGAGTGGACAGCCGACGGGGACTCAGATTCAGACCATTCGGCAAATTCTCGATGTATAAGCCAGGATTGCGAGATGAGGAGGAGGAGGACGATGATTCACCAGCTTTTCTTCCCCTATCCTCCGGTCCAGCCCATACCCCCCACCATCCCTCAGGCTCGGATCTCAATGCCACGCTACGGATGAACGGGGAGGACGTACCTGCCGTCTCCAATCGACGCCCCACGGAACAACTCCATACAGTCAGAAAGTCTCCTACCGCGGATTCATCCACGAGCTCTGTCAGCTCCGGAGTCCCAGTATCGCATCCAGCTACCGATCGCCGGCGACACATGCACCAAAGCGGCGGCCCTCTGAGCCCCCGTCGTGCCGCCGAGCTGACCCCCTTCAGTCCGCGGCGGTCGATTGCATCTGCGGGTCGAGAGACCAGCGATGGGACGCCTAGTATGGGAAGTAGCTTTAGTGACCTGGATGGTAAGCTTTGTGCGCTCACGGATTCTGGATGCATGCTAAAATTCTTGCCCATCTACAGATGCCAGCGTTACGCAGTCGGCGCTCGAAGAGGCTCTGATGAGCAATATGCAGCATGGAGGAATGGCAAGCCGCATGAGCACTTTTAGCCAGGCCTTACGAAGTCGCTATTTGCCTTGATCAGGGCTATGACTTTACAGCTCTCTTTTTCCCCCCTCATCATTTACACCAAATGGCTTCCTTAAGGAAAGGGTCTATCAGCAGATTGGATGTATTCAAATCTACCAATGTCTCTTCGTATAACCTCTATTGAATGCACAATGATCAATTTCGGTTCTTTGACTACCACTTACGACTGATTTCCAATTGGCTGTTCTGATCATGACAAGTGTCATTTCGAGCTGTTATTGCCGTCTTCCTACCCACAGGAGTTTCCTCGTATGTTGTTCGGAGGTGTACTCTATACAATCAACCGTGCTTATCTCCGCCGGGCTTGAGCTTAAATCCTGCGGAAGCCGGGGGCTTATCGCGACCTGTTCAGATCAGGACTAGCGCTGTCAGCACGACGGAGATAAGAACCAGGAGCTTGAGCTTCCTTTGGCTCGACGAACTCCAGGACCCTGCCGGCATTCTACATATTCATAAAGGTAACGAATAGAGAGTCCTAAGTCTGGTTACTAAGAGCATGAGAGCTCGGTCAGCCGTTGACTGCTACCCAATTACACACTAGTTTAAGCTGCAAGATGGGCGATGCTCTCAAGGACAGAACAGGACTTAGAGCTCGGCGATAACTCAAACTAGGCCCCACCCTTCTTGCGTCATGCCATGTCAAGGACCCTTTCGCAATCCTCTGGAGCCTAGGGTCCAAAGGGTATATATACGCGCTTTTGGGCTCTCTGTACTCGGCACAACACTCTCATTGAACATTCTCTCAGTTGACTATATTTCCACGTATATTTTCCCAGATCTAGACAACATGTCGTTTGCCCCAATTGCCCCGAAGCCCAAGAGCCTACTTGGTTACCACCAGGTTCTCTCTCCCACCGCCGGTGTCAAGGTAAGGACTATCCTTTGAACTCATCGTGATCTTGAAAAGCTAAAGTCGACAGGTCTCACCGCTATGCTTGGGAGCAATGAACTTCGGAGAAGCGTGGACGGAATTCATGGGCAAATGTAGCAAAGAGGATACCTTCGCTCTGCTGGACTACTTCTTCAATGAGGGCGGGAACTTCATCGACACGTGGGTGCCTTCTCATCCGTCCTAGCATCATCCTCTCCTCTTACACCCTTAATTACTAACATCTTCCAAACATGCAGTGCCAACGCATACCAGTACGAAGAGTCAGAAACCTGGATCGGCGAGTGGATGCAACTCCGCAACAACCGCGACCAGATGGTGATCGCCACCAAGTACACGACGGGGTTCCGGACGGCGCACTTCGACACGGAGCCGCTGCAGTCCAACTTCGTGGGCAACTCGGTGAAGTCGCTGCGCGTCTCCGTGGAGGCGAGCCTCCGCAAGCTGCAGACGGACTACATCGACCTGCTGTACGTGCACTGGTGGGACTTCACCACGGGCGTCGAGGAGGTCATGCAGGGGCTCAACGCCCTCGTCACCGCCGGCAAGGTCCTCTACCTGGGCGTCTCCGACACCCCGGCCTGGGTCGTCGTCAAGGCCAACGACTACGCCCGCGCCCACGGCCTGCGCCCCTTCGCCGTCTACCAGGGCAAGTGGAACGCCGGCTTCCGCGACATGGAGCGCGAGATCGTCCCCATGTGCCGCGACCAGGGCATGGCGATCGCCCCCTGGGCCCCGCTGGGCCAGGGCCGGTTCCGCCAGCAGGCCCAGGCCCAGCAGCATGAGGGGTCCGGGCGGGGTTCGAAGCCCACCGAGGCGGATCTGAAGATCTCGGAGGTGTTGGAGAAGGTCGCCGAGCGCAAGGGGACGAATCTTTATGCCATTGTGAGTTTGCTTTCTTTGCCTTTGATTCTCTTTCCCTAATGGTTCTTTTGTCTCTCTCTGTGTGTGTGTGTGTGCAAACCCCGACTAACTAATCCTCAATCCAAGGCCCTCGCCTACCTCCGCTACAAACAACCCTACATCTACCCGATCGTCGGCCAGCGGAAGGTCGAGCACCTCAAGGCTAACATCGACGCCCTGAAGATCGAGCTCAGCAAGGCGGAGATCCGGGAGATCGACCTGGCCGCCCCCTTCGACCCCGGGTTCCCGAACACGATGCTGTTCGGCGGCAACGACAAGTACGACGTCGGGTTCACGGCCGCGGATGTCTCGTTGACCAACTGGGCGGCGCATATCGATGCGCCGGCGTCGCAGGAGGCTGTGAGGCCGCGTCAGGAGTGAATACGGCCTGGTTGGTGGGTGGTGGTGGCCTCATTGTGTATATAGTCTTTTGTCTGTAGCGTGCAAAGATTGGATTCTTGTTGCGTTGTGAGTGTGATATATCTGGTGGGGAGGAGACGGGTGGGCAGTAGGTAGTAGGTTGTTGTTTCATTCGGGCATTATTTGGTGATCTTGTCTCTGGTACCGTACCGTGGGACGTTGAAAAGTAGAACTACAACTCACATCAGGGCGCGACGCTTGCTTCAAGTTTGACGGATCTCAATTTGAAACAGCACAGCACAGCACAGCACAGCACAGCAAAGCACAGCACGACCATCCCGCCCGCGTTTCACCCCATCGCGGGCCCCCGTTCTACCACGGTCGAGAACCTCGGAACCGTTGCAACAGCCATTGAGTCTGAAACTTGATGACGACGAGAGTCGATGAGATTCTAGATTGCGGCAACGGGCTGTGACTTATGGTGGGAATGGTGACGCAATGAATGGTTCCCGGCTGTGGAGTGGAGTTCGGCTGGTTTTATTCTACACCTTCTACTATGTACCTATGTCTCTCGACAAGGGGGCTTGACTTTTTGTACTTAAACTACAAAGTCAAAGACCCGGGTTAGGATCCTTGCGCAACACACTGGGCAGTATTGAGGGTCGTTTCAATCATCCTGGTGGGTGGTGTTGGTGGTGGTGCAGTCAATTCCAGAGTTAGCCGGAGTCAGAGTTCGCGGACAGACGATCCGGAAGCTCGAGCTTAAACAACGAGGAGTTGGTGGACATATAGCCGGCCTAGCCACGCCATGTCGTCTGCAAACGATGGATGGATTTTGACCTGGGATGCCCCACGGGTTTCTGCTCTGCCGTTGAACAGCCGGTTCGGCGATTGAAATGGTTTGTATGGTTCGCATGGCTTGGCAAGAAGCAACTGTCGGTAATTTTTGGCGCTCTGGAGCGAGGTCGCAGTGATAGGTGCTGTATCTGGTCGGCATATTTTGACCATCAGCCGAGGTTGTGCGATGACACTGCCGTCTGGGGGATGAGGCAGCTGGTGTCCGTCTGACTGATCAGCATTGTAATCTGATACCTCAGAAAGCAGAATTACTGAGGATGAACGAGGCCAATGCCGAGGAAATGCTACCGAGGAATAACTCCGAAGGCGGTAGCTCCAACTGCCCTGCCCCTCCCCTCCACGCCCTGTCAGAATGTTGAGGCCCCGCCCTTTCGTTCAACTCCAGTTCAACCAAGCAACGCCTTTACGGATCAATTTGTCAATAGGTATTTGCCATCCATCAAGTGACAGTCTGCGAGAGTGTCCTTTGATCTCTTTGCTGTTTCCCTCGTGTCAAAGACTAACCCCTCAGTTCACCATAGAATAGCGCATGTCCGCATCTATCCTCCCCACTCGTTCAACGTTCAACATCGATCGCCATCGATCGCCGACTCAATCCTTGTCTCTTTGAATCGGTTCTATCTAAACGAGCGGTCAATCGAACCCGCTCACCTCGCGCATCGATCCGTCGCTTCCCGCGCATCACTTGCGACCCATTAGGAGTCTATTGGGAAACATTGGACCACGAAGCTCTAGGATATTGTCGGTCGGAAGTCGAGGAAATTCGCCGGATCGCAATATGTCGTCCGCTCCGACAGCAGACATGACCCCCGCGGAGGCTGAGTCCGTCTACTTCAACAACTACCCCCCTCCCAAAGCTCTTCCGAAGCACGAGGCCCTGGCGCGCGCCTTCGTGGACTTGCATGTCCAAGCGGGCCGGCGACTGGTCCTCGTCACTTCCGGAGGCACCACCGTTCCTCTGGGTTTGTGAGCCGGGCACTGCGCACAGGAATCACGTCTAACCGTGTGCAGAGAATCAAACCGTGCGCTTCATCGACAACTTCAGTGCCGGCACTCGAGGTGCCGTGTCGGCGGAGTACTTCCTGCAACAGGGCTATGCCGTCATTTTCCTCCACCGCCAGTTCAGTCTGCTGCCATACTCGAGACACTACAGCCACTCGACCAACTGCTTCCTCGATTTTATGGACGATGACGAGTCCGACTCGGAAGACCGCCCGGTCGTGGTGTGCAAGGAATACCAGGATCAGATGCGCGACGTGTTGCGCAAGTACAAATACGCCAAGCGAAACAACCTCCTCCTACTCCTCCCCTTCACCACCATCTCCGAGTATCTGTTCGAACTGCGGTCGCTGGCGCAGTTGATGAAGCCCCTGGGCCCCAACGCCCTATTCTACCTGGCGGCAGCGGTGAGCGACTTTTTCATCCCCCGCGATCGCATGTCGGAGCACAAGATCCAGTCGTCGGAGTTACCAAGCCACCTGGAAAGCAGCGGCCAGGGCGAAGATTCGTTGGACATATACACCGGAGGACTCGAGCCGCAGCCGGTGCCGAACCGGAGCAAGAAACTGGTCATCGACCTGGACCCGGTGCCCAAATTCCTCCACCGGCTCGTGGACGGCTGGGCACCGGATGGGAGCATGGTGGTGTCCTTCAAGCTGGAGACGGACCCCAATCTGCTGGTGTACAAGGCGAAAACCGCCCTGGAACGGTATGCCCATCACCTGGTGATTGGCAACCTGCTGGCGACGCGGAAATGGGAGGTGGTATTTGTCACGCCGGAGCCTCCGTATGAGCGTTGGATCCGAGTGCCCAAATCGCGGCGCAGCAAGAGCATTTCCGGCAGCGAAGACCAGGTCGGGTTGGCCGAGGCAGCCAAACAGCGGGCGGGCGAAGCCGCGCTGACGGGAGAAACCAGTGGGGGCGGCAGTGGCAGTGGCAGTGGTGGTGCCCCCGATCGAGTCCCCGAGGTGGTCACCACCGCGGAAGAGGGGGTCGAGATCGAGAGTCTGATCATTCCTGAGCTGGTTAAGTTGCATTCCAACAAGATTGCCCAGTACGGTCGGTCGGCATAATGTTGTAGCATAGATGGTGGTGGTTTTGCGGGTTGCAGGAGAAAAGAGAGAGTAAACTATTGCGGCTGTTGGAAGTCGGAGTCTGTGACTGAGTCTAGAGAGAGAGAGAGAGAGAAAGGAGCTAGGGACACCTCTTAGTGTGAGTAGCTTAAACACTGTAGACAGTAACTAGTATGAGCATAAATTTGTGTGCAGCAGGGTCCATTGCTTCCTCGAATAGATTAATTGGAAATAGTCGTCAGGAACAGCCCGTTTTT